TTCTTCTTTACTCCTGGACACCAAACAGTCAAACTGTTGGAATGATTGTAATAAGCATTAATCCCTCTACCTAAATTGTGAAATTCATGGCCCCAGGATCAGGGGTTCTGGTGATAGGGTGGGCTCTGTTGACTATATAGTGAAACTGCATTATTCCTTAAAAAATCTTCTCCTCTGCTCCTGGGTAATAAACAAACTAACTGAGTACATAGTTATGATGAGCAAGGGTGCCTCTTAAAATTATGAATTTCATGGCCCCTGGGTCAGGGGTTCTGGTGTTAGTGCGGGGCTCTATTAATTAAATTGTGAAAATGTTATTCCCTTTTTCCATTCACCTTTGATTATTAATCACTGTAAATTATGTACAGGAAAGGTTAATAGAATAAGAGTAATTATGCAAGAATTTTTATTGTATAATACAAAAAGTACTTTCTTAGTTTTAATGATCAGGTAGACCTGTAAATAATAGATAAATGAAAATGATACAAAAATAACTTATCTTATTAAATGTTCTTCAAAGACCAAGAGAGGTCAATGTGAAAGGTTTATAAATGGGATTAAAAATAGTTCAAGAGCACTAGAAGTTTGTTGATAATCTGCATGGTGAAAGTGATAATTGGGGGGGGGGGGGCAGATAAGAACTTAATTTATGAGTTGATTCTGAATATTAGACTAATTATTTTGTTGATCCTAATCTTCCTACTTTTCTTGCTTCTGGGCAACAAAGCTTCATCTATCAGTGTATTTTATACTGTATGGATCCTCTAAACTATTGAATTATACTCGGGTGACCGTTAAGGCCCTTGGGCCTCTTGTTTAAAAAAGTTTATCCTTAAAGTAAGCGTAAAAATATACATTTTTGGTTAACAAAAACATGGAGCATGGAGCAAAAAGGAAAAACATAATTTTATGACACATAAAAAGATTGTCCAACCGATAACATTTACAGGTACCATTGTTTTCAGAAACCGTTTTGACCAGATGAAAAGAATAAGATTTTAATATTTCAAAAGAATTGGTTGTACACTTACTGATAAAAAGGAGATTTAAAATTTTCAATTTTCCTACCTTGTATTTTTCAATTGAACTGGTCGCCATTTTGAAGAAGGGACACTTTAAACAATGTACATCAGTACAGCCATGATATTTTATTGGGGGGGGGGGGGGGGTATTGGCTCTGGGGGAAATTGCACTCTATAACTACTACACAGAGTAGCATTTACCCTAGGAAAATTGAATCTGATGTGGGTTTTCGTGAGAAAAATTCTACTCTAGAACCCTTTTTTCGTGGAGGGAAATCCTACTCCAGAGCCAGTTTTTCGGGGGATATGGGGTTGGTGGAGATTCTAGAGGGGAAATTAATCCTACTCTACAAGACCCGATTAGAAAAAACTTGGCTAGTGAAGATGTCGTGCAAATTTGACTCTTTTAACAAATTATTTTTTAAACTTTTATTTGAACTTTAGTACGTAATATCAGTTATTTCCTTTGATATGAATTCCAAATCTTTATTTTCGGTTAGCAGATTACTTAAATTATTTACTGATAATTACAAAGTGACACCTTCTGGACAGTTGTATAGAACTACAAAGGGGCAGAGTATTAGAGTATTAACTGATTAATGCCCTCAACATTTTCTAATAGTTTCAAAAAAAAAATCATGTACTTACTTATTTTTTTTCTTTCATGTCCATCTTATCAAAGTCTTTTCAAAGACTTCTTCTTCCATCAAAATAAAGGGCCGCTACAACAGCATTGTCTCATTTTGGTTATGAGCGTGTGCAAGGGGAGTGGGGGGGGGATGTTCCACACTATTCTCTTTAGAGAAGTGGACAGGCTTTCGCCTACATCCACTTCTGATCTTCTCTTCGCAAGCCTTCTGATGAAGGCTTGCGAAGAGAAGTGGATGTAGGCGAAAGCCTGTCCACTTCTCTAAAGAGAATAGTTCCACACCGCTATTTACAAGTTAAAAAGCTAATTAAAAACATGTCATGCTTCCTTCCAGGTGCTATAAATCCCTGCATCCGGGTCTCAAAGGTCTCCAGGGACATGGCCATAATGATGTCTCATGGCAGCTGGTTCCAGTGATATCCTGATGGTAGTAGGAAAGAACGACGCCTTCAAGACAATGGTACGCAGATCCTGTACAAATGTTGGTGTCCCCTTGTGACTGCTCCTGTTTCGCTGAATCGGGGAGGCAGTTGAATGGCAACTAAGGAATGGACAGCCCGATGCACCATGATGACCTTGGCTCGGATTCTTTGTTGTCGAAAGCTCTCTCACTCTAGCCTACAAATCATCATTGTGACACTACTGGTAATCATCATTGTGACACTACTGGTGGTGTTATAGTTGCTTGTCAATTAAGAACCTAACTGCTCCCTTCTGTAGTTTTGACTTCGTTATTTACTCAACACATGTATTTTATCGCTCCCTAATTTCTACCTCACTTTATATATAAATTTATCTGTAGAGTGGGGTGGATTTTTTTTTAAAATTTTGTTTTAGGTAATTTTTCAAATTCAAATTGATGGTATGGATTATATCACAAATATGATATTAAAAGATAATTCATGAGAAAAAGTTAAAAAGGCCCGGGAGTTTATATCGGGAGGGGGTTCTGTCCTCAAGCATCTATGCTTTTTATCTTTCAACGGCATATACACCTGTATCTTTTTAGACCCAACTTACGTAATAGGTAATAGAAAGATGTAGAATATTTCTTTTTGAGAGCATAGGTATAAGACTCTAGACATGATAATTGTTATAAATGTTTCAAAGCTACTCGACTGTGAACATTATCAACTTGCTCTAGTATCTATCAAAAAGAGACCAATGGTACACTTCGCTCATCTGAGTATTTTGGTTAGAGAAAAGCAGAAATTAGTTCAGTGTTGAAAAGTTTAAATATAAAAGTGGTCCCACCCTACCCACTGGGGGTGATTATTTGAACAGAAATGAATCTACACTTCCATTCCATATTAATATAACTGATCAAGGTCGCATTGCTGTTCCTGAGAAGAAGATTTTTAAAGATTTTTCCCCCTATTTAATCCTTTGTAAAACTTTGATCGCCTATTGTGGCCCAGCCCTACCCCAAGGGGTCACAATTTCAACAAACTTGAAATTACACTACCCGAGGATACTTCTCTGTATTTTAATATTACTAACCATGGCTTTGCCGTTTTTGAAAAGAAGATTTTTAAAGATCTTTCTTATATATTCTTATGTAAAACTTTGATCCCCTGTTGTGGCCCCACAACTACCCCCGGGGAACATGATTTCAACAAAGTTGAATCTAAACTACCTGAGAATGCTTCTCTATATTAATATGACTAATCATGGTTTTGCTTTTCTGAGAAGATTTTTAAAAATAGTTCCTAATCATGTATATTCCTATGTAGATCCCCTGTTGGGCCCAACCATACCCCCGGGGGCACGATTTAAACAAACTTGAATCTACACTGTAGAATGAAGCTTTCACACGAGTTTCATCTTTTCTGGTTCAGTTGTTCTGGAGAAAAAGATTTTTAGATTACCCGAGTCACTTAAGTGACCTAGCTATTGCTATCTCTTTTCGTCCGTCGTCGTTCGTCTTGCGGTAACATATGAACATTTTCAGATTCTACTCTGGAACTGCTGAACCAATTTCAACCAATTTTGGCATATAGCATCTATGGGTAAAGGAGAACAAAATTTTCGAATTTCATGGTCCCTACCCCCCCCCCCTCCCGGGGTCTTAGGGGTGGGTTGAAACCATCAAAATTAGTGCTATCTTTGAAAATCTTCTTCTCTACTCCTGGTTATCAAGCAGTCAAACTGTTGGAATGATTGTAATAAGCATTGAGCCCTCTACCAAAATTGTGAAATTCAAAGTATCTTTGTCAGGGGCTCTTGGGTTAGTGAGGGGCTCTAATGATCATATTGTCATCATCGGAAATCCACGGCCAATCTGACATACGCTTATTGACCGGAATATTATGCGAAACCGGTCAATAAGGTATGCGAGATTGGCCGTGGGCATATAGTAAAAATACATAAATTCTTTAAAAGTCTTCTTTTCTCCCCTTGATAAACTAGCATGGATAAGATGAGTAGAGATTCTGGTGTTAGGGTGGGGCTCTATTGTTTATATAGTGAAAGTGCTTTTTTTTTTTATTTGTTTGAAGATCTTCTTCTCTGGGTATTTAGTAGACAAACTATAGGTGGATGGTTATGATGAGCAGTGGAGCCTCTTCCAGAATTGTGAATTTCTCGGCCCCTTGGTCAAAGGGCCTGGTGTCAGAGAAAATAAGATATATATATAAAAGTTTTTATGTAGAACTATATAATCTCGCGTGTATTTCTAAGATTATAATCTTAGCCAATTTATCTCATCAATTCATATCGCAAAAGTAAAACATCTTCTTTTTTTTTAATTAAAAGTTGACAAATAGAAAAATAATAAAAATATTCTCTTTATTATTATGTATTAAACGACTAGTGGACATTAATTTGCACAACTGAGATCTAACTAAATTTGGGCCTGTGAGGATTAAGAATTGGTATATGTGTATACATGTGTATTTAAAAATAATTAAAAGATATTATGAATCATGGTATTTTTAAACTCATCATGGGTATTGAACACCTTATTTATTAGTCAGATTCTCTTAATCATGCTAGTTTACAATGCTTTCGACATGTTCCATAAATTTGGCATAATCACACCTGGCTCAGGTAACCGCATAATTTTGGCCGCTGTGCAATAGAAATACATGCGCGAGATTATATAGTTCTACATAGAAACTTTTGATTTTCTGTTTTCATATCATTTTTGCAAACTATAGGACTTTATTGTTAATAGCTAATTCCGCAAATATGTGATTATTTACTCTCCAATGGAGAGGTAAAGAAAGGTACTTTTGCATTGTTGTTTACCTGGCGCGGAGGTTTATAGGTCAAAACATACCTCCGTAGTAAACCGCCATGTTATTTTGAAAAACAGAAGTAGGAAGTGTTCTGGAAAAAAAAATAAAATAAAAACAAGACGCGAAAGCAACATGAAGCTCATATATTTGTGTGTTATCTGTCTAAATTTTCCATCTTTTGGTAAGTGTTTTTTACTTCAATCCTTCTACATTAATTAACATTTGACAATTGATGCACATGCCTCAATCTGTGCATACTGCAGGATAGCCCACAGGAGTCGGCAGTAAAGTGAAAAATAAGTGGGAAACAGGCATGAACCCTACCAGTGAGCTTTGCGAGCGTAGCTAACAAAAATGAATCGTCGTGAAGCTCGATATATTTGTGCAAAATATGTCTAAATAGTTTAATTTCCGATTATGATTGTCTTGATTGTTATTACTAACAAATACTGCTGTTGAAAATTTTTAGATAAAATGCTGCAATCAGCATGGAGCAGTAAAGTGCATGTACTGAACAGTGAAACGACTGACATGAGTGTCATCTCCATTCATAGACTTAAGAGCTCTACAGATCTTTAACTAACCCATGTGTTCCTAACATAAATTCTTTTACTACTTTCAACAAAGCATTCCCCACAACTGTTATTTTGTATAAAAGGCACGTACCCCCTCCAGGTTTCTCTTTCCACCAAGTTCCTTTATAAACTCAATTTCTTTGCCCATGTGGCGCAATGGTTAAAGTGTTTGCTCAAGAGTAAGGAGTTGATCCTTACATTGTGGGTTCGAATCCACCATGAATCCACTGTCTCAGAGGAGACTCTATAAACCGAAGTTCCGTGTCTTTCTTCCTGCATAACCATATCAAGTGTGTTAAAAACACTCAAACAACCAGGTTTCACCACCACATGTGCACAGCTTTAATTACCAACCTACTTATTATGATCTTTTCCTCCAAAACCATAATATTATCTATGGACACATAGACTTTGAGATTAGAAAGCGTTAATTGGACCCTCTACATTCTCTTAATTTGCTTGTATTTTTCCGACAAACTTTACAACACGCACATAGTACTTAATCTATAACTTTATTTCTAATTCATTATCAGAAGAGGGTAGCATTTGCACAACATAAAAAAGCAAAGAGGAGTTGAAAAAATCTGCAAGTGAATTTTGTATTATTGCATGTACATTGGTCACTTTATTTTAGTAAATTATCATTTCATGATTCATGTCTGTGTAGAAGACACCTATATTGTGTGTAATATATACCTCCACATTTTAGATGTCTATATAGATCAACAGTGTTTTAATTGTTTAATTGCAATAAATTTTTTTTGAGAGAAAATTTTTTAGGTAATTTTTGGAGAGAAGAATATAGTTTCTGTCAGAGATTTTTTTTTTTTGTGAAATTCTATTTACCCTGGTACATAAAATGATTTATAAAATAAATCATGAATCTGATAAACTATAACATATAAGTATATGTACTGCAAAAACCTAATTAAATTGAATGCTGAGTTACAAAATTGAAATTATAAAGAAGTCCAGGCAATGTATGAAAGCTTATTATATAAATAGTGCACGTTTTTTAGGGTAACAGTTGAAATTGACACCCCAAGGAAAACCATTGTCAACCGACGCGTCAGCCCTAAAAAACGTGCACTATTTATTTTATTATACTGAATGTCTTATTGATTTCAGATATCATACAAAAAATTCGGAGATCGTCGTTAAGTTCACGCTTAGAAAGCTTTCACACTCCCCACTTCTATTTTTTCAATAAGAAAGCTTCGGAAAAGATTTACCAACCTCTTTCTTGTTTGTTTGCTACTCAAAAAGTCCTTTATCATCTAAAGTTTGCACTCGCAAGGATGTTTCGTCTGTCGTTTGTTGTTTTCAAGTAAGCTACATCGGACGCAAGCTTTTATTGACGTTGTTTATTCGACTTCTTTCAAACGCACAACCGACGTTTTGAGAATTCTACGGTGAACCGTACGCGCATCATTTGAACGCATGTGATATTTTCGTAATGTTACCCGTTGTCAAGTGTGTTGCTAATGCTGAGGGTAACATTACGGATTGTTAAATGCCTCTAAACCAATCAGATTTTAGTATTTAACATGAAAGTATAATAAAAATAATTATTCCATCTTACATAGAATAGAACCAAGGATCATTAAGGTCTTTTAAACATAAAATAGAACATAGAATCATTAAGGTCTATTAAACATTTATTTATGTCAAATCAAGTGTTTAAACCATAACTTACATTTTGTTGGTTATTGAGCATGTTGAGCAGAAGTATGTGGATTTACATTTTTTAATGCAAGATACAGGACAGGTGTTGCTGCAAACGTCTGTACATTGATAAGAATGACTTTAACTGCCTCATTTCACCGTGATGGTGCGCTATGATGTCCTGTGTTCACACAATGTTACATGGAGGACAGGTGAGTAAACTTAAAACTAAAAGACGACGACATTTTTTTGGGTCCGTGCAAAAGCATGGACTTTTGGTTCATGGGACCCCTTGTTTTTCAGGGAATACTTGTGGTCCAGTGTATTGTTTTTACATCCATGATGCATGCATGTACCAGCTGGCATGTACAGTAAAGCTCATTGATAAGTGTCATGATAAGAAAATCAGTATAGCATTAGTTATATGGCATAAAATTTAATTATTGATTTAAAAACATTGGTGGTCATTGAAATATCAAATGTGTCTTTTTGCATCCGTAATTTGATATGGACCCATGTTGATTCCTGCTGAGATTTACAGGATTCCTACTGTGAAAATGGCTTTATGGAGGACTATTCATTACATCATTTTCACAGGGAAAATTATAAATTTCCATCTCAGATTTTCAAATGTTGATAAATTTAAAGCACAACAATGATTGTTTAAAAAATGAATTAAGTCAAAGAATTTTTCCAGACTTAAATAGTGGTTTCAATTCAATTTGTTGAAAGTAAAAATAAACAAAATTATTATTTATTTATTTATGTCACCACAATTCTTTGAATTTGCTTGTTATGATAACATACGAGTATTAATACATGAAACATGTTAAAGTTGATGTTAAGGTGAAATTAATAACATAAGTAAATTATGACAGGAGTGCAACAGTATACTTATATGTTTCATTGCTTAATGACTAGGGCTGAGTATTGGGTAGAGAACTTGTATTGTGATATATATTGTGATATTTTTAACTGTATTGTGATATGTATTGCAATATTTTCAACAAAAAATTTAAATGGTATCTTTATGGAATGCCAAATTAACATATATTCAAATATTTGAACCTGTCTCCAAATGATTTGAAGATAGGTACAATTGAATTAAAGATAAGTACAATTGAATTAAAGATAGGTATAATTATTTACACCGATACCTATCTCTAAATAATTAAACCTAGGTTAAAATAAATTACACCTATCTTTAATGGAATTATACCTATCTTTAATTCATTTGAAGATAGGTACAATTGATTTAAAGATAGGTACAATTGAAACATATCCACAGAGGATTTGAAGATAGGTACAATTCAATTATACCTAGGTTCAATTCATTTTGTGCTATTAGTCCCCTACCGGTGAAACCGGAGGGGACTATAGGTTTCCTCTGAGTCTGTCCGTCCATCTGTCTGTCTATCTGTCTGTCCCTCTGTCTGTCTGTCAGTCTGTCCCACTTAGTTTTCCGCACTTTTTTCTTAAACGCTTGCAGATATTGAGCTGATTTTTGGTATGTGAGTGTATCTTGATGAGTTACAGATCAAGTTTGCATTTCGTTCCGCTTCATTGATTTTTGACGGAATTACGGCCTTTTCAATTCTTAACGGGAACCAGATTACACTTGCCGGTAGCATTTTTATGGGGAGTAGTTGCTAATTGTCAATGTCTTTAAAGAAAGGTTCTATTCAATTGCACCTATCTTTTAAATCAATTATACCTATCTTTAATTCATGGCATTTTTACCTATCTTCAAATCAATTCTACTACCTATCTTGAAATCGTTTGTACCTATCTTCAAATGAATTAAAAATAGGTATAATTGAATTAAACCTATCTTTTATTCATTTAGAGATAGGTACAATTGCTTTGAAGATAGGTTTAATTGATTTGAAGAATGGTACAGTTGATTTGAAGATAGGTATAATTTATTGAAGATAGGTTCAAATATTTGAATATATGATAATTTGGCATTCCATTTATTTTCTTATTATATTTTTAACTTCCTTTTACATGTAGAATGTACACAAATATGATAAATAACCAATAAAAGATATCTTGTCGATTTAATTTAAGTTATGCAACTGAATACACCTATACAACAGTGCCTGGGAAGGACAAGCGATAGGTGGGGCCAATGGCCCCACTGTTCATGAAATGATGGAGCCATTTTGAAATTTAAGGGGCCGAGGGAAATTATCTTGGGGACATTCTAAAATATATCTTGGTATGATGTTATATGATAATGCATATATCTCTGACTACCCTAACCTTAGTATATAGGTCCCTGTAAGAACTTCAATCATTCATCGTCTAGATTCTAACCAACTAGTATTTAGAAAAATTATACTAAAACCAGAAGCACCATTTTTTTAACAATGCCGATTTTGAGATCAAGGGACAGGCCAAGATAAGTAGACTTCGTTGAAAAAGGGTATATAAATCTCCCATGTGCGTGACTTTCGTAAAATTGTGATCAACTGTCGAAAACGACTTGACACAAACTACATAGAAAAAAACTTTGTTTCTTTGCCAGTGGATGTCAATATGCCAAAAGATGGTTCTGATTTTATTATATGATACATTACAGATTCCATCTAACTGTGATGAAGAATACCAAACCGATAGCGCTGACTGCGATAAGCAAAGTAATGCAAGCACATGCATGCTCGCATTTTGCAGGGCGCGCCGCATGGTGCAGTGCACCAATTTTTCATTGCACCATTTATCGACAGTATGTGCATGTGGTGCAGCCCCTTCCCAGGCCCTGATACAACAGCTTTTGTCTTACTGTTTGCATGATTCGCAAACCTTTCTGACAACTTTTCTTTATATTTTATGATAGAATTCCTGAGTCTAAAAATTTTGCTGGTACAATTGAACCCCGGCATCTCAAACACCGATTTCCCAAATACCATGGATGTGTCAAAGCACAGGAGTTGGCTGTTTTATCCATAAAGCAACGTAAACAACAACCAGTGAGCTTTGCAATCGAAGCAACAGGAATGCAACACGTTTTTGACGAATTCTGCTCTGGCGCTTTATTTAATAAAACAGCAACACACGGTAGAGTTCATGTCAGTCGATGTTTCTAACCTGATTTCTGGTCCAATTACCCTCTCACTTGCCGTACTAGACCCTTAAATCTAACATTAGCAACAGCGTTGCATTCCTGTAGATTTGTTCGCTATGCTTCCGAAGCTCAATGGTTGTTGTTTACATTGTTTTATGGATAAAACTGCCGACCCCTTTGGTCAAAGTGATTTGGAAGTCCCAACTTCTTATTCTTTTAAGTATTTTACCCTTGAATGAGATCTCAAATCCTCTGATATCTCGAAGTTTTTTCTCAGCCCCAACAGGTTCAAGATAACGAGGTTTGACTGTATATCAGTATTACAAAAATGTATTGCAATATGATATTTTTTGTAGGGATGTCAATTTTGTCAATAATTCATATTCGAATATTCAATGAAAGTATTCGAATATATTCGATAAAATAAATAAAATCTGTTAGCGTAGGTATTCTTATATTGGAAGTAAAATTGTATGAAGACTTTTGTAGGTGTACAATAAGAAATTCCATTTGATATTTGTCAATGTTTGAAATTAATAATTGATTTAAATGTAGAAAAGTATAATTTTAACAAATGAAACATGTGTATTATATTTTATATTAGCTCCAACTGTGGAACCAGTCGTCTTACCAAATGCAACATAGGCGTCGGAAGCAAATTGAAAGTGGGGTGGCTAATTGAAAGGGGGGGGGGCTTAACCAATGAAAAAAGGTAAGCCCCAATTTTCAATGCCTATATTATGTCTATCTTTGCAAAAAAGGGGGGCTAAGCCCCCCCCCCGTTCCGACGCCTATGTGCAAGATATATTCGTAACGGTATATATGTACTTTCAGATTTCAATACGTGTAATAAATTACAATTATCTGCCTAATAATAGAATCATGTATGATTATAACCTTTGATACAATGTTTTTAAAGTATAAACAAATATTTCCATAGACAATTTTCTTAGGTAATTAACTAATTTCCCGATAATGAATATAAAATTCAGGATTATGTACAACCCGAGATAATCAAGTAATTTACACATTTATTCTGAAATTGAGCCCTTTACAATATTAATTACAGACTAATTCTATCGGACATTCATTCAATGATCAATTAAATTTATTTTGATAAGTATACTCTTCACGTCTTTTAGACATTCTAAGAAGGTTTTCATTTTGTTGTCCTCGATTCTAGACCCAATCGTATCTAACTAATAAAAACTATGAAAGTACGTTTTGTACGTATTATACATTAAGCATTATTGTACAATTATTTAACACTTTACTCAAAACAAAATAAATGTAATTAAGTATATCTATAGGATAAGAAAGTAGTGAAAGAAAGGCGATCGAAATTGATCGCTAGTAAATTAAATAGGGATAATTCCAGCACTGTTCTTATAAAAATTCATTAACCACAGTTGTTCTTTTTATGAAATCTGAAAAACACCGAATATTCGAATCTTAAATTCATATTTGAATATCAACTCATCGAATGAATATTCAAATGTTCGAATATTCGTTGCCATCCCTAATTTTTTGTCAACATACTTCAGTATACCAGAATATTGCCAAGCCATTTTAACGACCCTCTATCACTGCACACTGAAGAATTCTAATTTCATGGCATTTTCATGCAGTTAGAGTTATATGATCTGTCCTTTTATTTGAAATCTTTGATATACTATACATTCTGTGATCAATTCAGTTATTCTTAATATTATATTAGACCTATACTTCATTTGCATGTGTTTTCCCCATTTAAGTATGCAACAATAACTTCTGTACAAAAATACTATGTTGTCTGAGAATATTTTTCCTGGGGCAGAACTGTAGATACAATAATGCGCATTGAAATGGTAAAATTTTCCATTTGAATTTAACGTCGGAACTTGCATAATGACATGCCAATGTTAGTATTACAAAAATGTATTGCAATATGATATTTTTTGTCAACATACCGCAGTATAACTGAATATCAGTATTACTGCCCAGCCCTATTAATGGCCCTCTTCTTCCCATTTCTTTAGAAAGGAAAAAGCCATCACATACTTCATTCAAATACCTGAAAAAACAAGTATTCCATAAGTTAGCCAATCAGATGGGTAGTTTACATATAAACACTGAGTAAACATGTATTCGGCCAATACATATGTTGTGATAACTTTAATAATAATGATAAATTCCTAATTTGTACATATTCGTTGCAGTATGTGAGTTTTACAGAGTCTCTAACTTTCCTAACTTCACAAAATCCCCATTTCAGCAAAATTTGTGTTGCTAGTTGCAGAGAGAGTGGGATGTCTTAAAACATTGCAACAAATATTGCTTTCTCGTTTCTAAAGAAATAGCCATGTCATTATGTAACAATTGACGTTCGATAAGAAGGACCCAAACATTCCATTCAATCGAAAAATTTTTACCACTTTAATGCGCATCATTGTACCGTATGTTGAAGATAAATAAGATCAACACATTATCTTCACCTCTTTACTATACAATTTTTTCAAAGTTCAAAAAACATTTTTCATTACTTAGTGTATAGATGATCCTTAACACTATGACACAATGCATATTACAAATATCAAGTCAAAGCAGTTCACTTTAGACTTGCCAAATTTTACATTGAACCAACAAAGTTTTCTTTTGCTGCCTTTCTGTTCATATATTTTTTCCAAATTATACTTTCAGGATCAACACAGAATGTGCGAATTCAAGTCCAACCACTGTCTGTAAATCTAAGGCAAGATGATCTGGTTGTAACCTGTTCCACCGTCAACCCATCACAACTTGATACAGTGTATACCATACAGCTGCAAAAAAACAATACAAATACTTACTCAATGAAGGATGTGGTTTCAGTTCGTTCAAGTGGTGGTCAAAATACTACAACATGGCAGGACACAGAGTTAAGAAACAGAGCATCAGTAACAGGCACTGTCAGCACACCAGCCACAGCACAGCTAAAGTTAACGATTCCTAAAGATCAAGTGTTGTGTCCACAGGATTTCACTGGATACATGTGTATTATGTCTGGATTTACAACTGCTTTAGTGACTCAAGTAACAAGTCAGGAGTATGTTACGTACATAGGTATGTACCCATTCCACAATGCTGCATTGCAATTGTACATTTAACATAATTTTCATTCAGGCCATAATAAAAAAATTCCTAGATTCTCATCCCCGCTGCCCCAATTTTTTTACCCCTGCCTCAATTTTTTTTATTTCTGTTTTTCTTCGTCTTAATTCTGATCAGGATCAATATTCAGGTACCATTCAACTTTTGTTTTAAATCACGTGAATGTCGGCATGAATTTGACAGCTGACAAGATGGTAACTGCCGTAATATGTGTTAAACAAGGATCATTGGTTGTGAAAGATAAGTGATGATGTGTAGTAAGAGATGCATATTAAAATGGACCTCTACTATGACTTTATTCGGGCATTATAGATAAATCAGCACCGATTGATCAGGTCAACAAAAAATCTGCACAATGGAAAAAATATAAAATAAAATCCACCCACCCGCCTCAATTTTTTCAAAAAATTCGGATGAGAAACTAGGAAATTTTTTTTATGGCCTAAATGATATGTTGTGCTATGTATTGATGGATCTTTCTTGTAATTCAGTCCATCCAACAACAATTGAAATGCCAACTGTGAGGATACTTGGTGAATTTTCTAACACACCATCAAGACAGTTTCCAGTTGGGACAGCTATACAGCTGACTTGTACTGGACAGATTGGCAGTGACGCAAGTGCTGTAGGTGTTTTTAAATAAAGATCAACTAATTTTTAAAATAAACTGTTGAGATTTTACTTCTCTTATTAAAATTTTCATTTAAAATTTCAGACAATCCGTTGGTGTGCTAAGAAGTCCCAAGACTTTACCTTCACGGGACTACCACAGACCCCAGTTCACTCCGAGGCCTCACCGTCTTCTGGCTGTCAGTACACTCGTTCCAGTACCATCACTTACAACCTCACCAGTGATGACACTTACACACAGTTCCTGTGTGAGTCTGGATATTCTGGTCTCTGTGAAACAGGAACAGCTAAGCAGTATCTGAACATAACATTAGGTAAGTAGTTATTGATTATATATAAAATCATTTTTTCATATGAAATTTTATATAGGTATGTAAAGTGTAAAGGATGGCATCATGCTTAGTGTGTTACTTTTAATTGCATTTAATGTATAGCTGGTAGAGTGTTTAAGTTCTGTCATTTATCCTGCTTGGTTATAACTGTATGCAGGCCTGCAGGTCTCTGTAACAGCTAGCTTGTTAATGTGATTTGCTAAATTAAAAATAACTCATTAATTTCATCATAACTTATATATGTATTGTTCAATTTTAAAAAAAAAATTAAACTTCATAAGAGAGCAATGTTTTTTGCAAAAATTCATTTCGGAGTTTGATGATCCATTAATTTTATAAATACAATAAATATGCAATATTAAACCACGCACCAAAGTATAAATCTTGCAATATCATTAAAATTTTGAATGAAGAGTATATTAATTTAAATGCAAAAAATTAAAATAAAGGGTAGGAAAACAGTATATACAGGCCTGCAGTCTGACTTCTTGCTAAGTATATCATCCACTGTCACATGATTTCACACATTTTTAGACACTTCAGGTGGTAAGTTTCTATGAACAGATACCTTTTTCACCTTTTGATATTTCTTTAATTTGCTATGTCACTTAATTTTGCTTTGGTTGAAAGCTAATTCTTGCATGCTCATAATTTTAATGCATGAAATTTGGATTTACAGTAAAACTCGTTTAGTAAACACGGATATAGCGAAGTTTTTCGGAGTCCCCAGCAAAATTCTTAACAATTCTTTGTAAAAGTTTACTGTTATAACGAACTCTGATATAACGAATTTACGGATATAGCGAACTGATTTTGAGTTCTGTAGAGGATAAAAATTATGAAATTTACATCTTTTTTAACGAATTTTCAAAGATCTCAGAATTTGATACATTTTGAAATGATTTTATTTTCGTTAAGTATTTCAGGGTTTGACATTAACTTTTGCAAGTACTAGACCAACCGGGCTACTTCCGATACTTTTTACTAGCCCTGACCATAAAATCACTAGCCCTGAGCAAACTTGCAAATTTACTTCTTATAATGGAGAATTTTAATGAGGTAACTTTTGAAACCATATTTAATAAAGACATCATGTTTTGTGCGTGTCAATATTTTTGACAGACTGTTCGATAGGTCCCAGCCAACTGAGTCGGGTTCATCGGGACATTCGGTACTATAAGCCTTAAAGAACATTCAACAAACTTTTATGTTATAATTATCGTAAATAAATTCCTTCAAAATTATACTATACGTAACTATCTATATTGATACTAAACTACAGTAGTGTCATTTACAGCTGCTGTGGCTAAAAATAGCGATTGTGTCATGCAGGGATTTCTTTCTTCACACAGCGATGGCTTTGGAAATACATGGTGTATAAGAAAATTTCTTTAAAAGTTTTAAGATTATTTATTTGAAAGACTGAAATGGGAGTTTAAATTATTTTATCGAGACGACCAATCGGTCTAGTTCACGTACATTTTACACGACCGGACCAATCATTTACTAGACTGAGTCGCTCGGACGTGCCTTAGTGTCAAACCCTGTATTTGTATATAAAATTCAATTTATAATATTTAAACCTTTGTTATCCAAGGTATGTTTTGTAATAAGTGCTTCCCTAACATAGTCAGTAGTAATACTTGAAGGAAAACATGTATTTTGCGAATTGGCTTTTTATACTTTTACAAACTCGTTACATGGATATAACTAATTACGGATATAGCGAAGTAAATTCACAGGTCCACAGGACTTCGCTATAACTGAGTTTTACTGTATAAGGATCAAGTTGCATCTGTCTGTCTGGGAATGGTTTTTAGTTGGACAAAGGAAGAACTTGCATACCCCTGCATGTTATAAATAGAATGAAATTTCATGAAAATATACTTCAAAGTAAAGTAAAATGACAGATGAAGTTTTAAGCTCGTATGAAGTAGGAGTTGGTGGTTTTTGACACTGAAAATAACATTCCACAATTACTTGATGTAATGCAATTGTTGCATTTTGTTACATATTAATTGGTTATCAAGATGTATTTGCAGGCACCTGGTACTTAAACCAGGCTGAAATCATAATTGTACCTCCCAAAATATTTGAAGGAGAAAAATCCAATCACACATTTCATGCATTTCATTAAAATTGCTTCCTGTAACTATACTTCCTGTTTCTACTCTTTTTGAAAGCCCTTTGTTTGTAATAATTAGGAGATACCAGAATACACAAAAGGAAGTTAACTGTTGAATGCTTATGTTGATGTAAAGGGAAGTAAGATATATTTAGTATTCTAGGATTTTCATGAATCTGCACATATTGGATAGTCACTGGTTTTAAACTTCAGAAAAGTTTGAAGAGTAATTAAACACAGAGAGGGAAAATGCAAAAACCTACTTTTTTCCTTGTTAAGGAATATGTAAGAATGTGGGAAAAATCTGATGAGATAATGTATAGATATTTATACCCCCGCTCCAAAGGAGAGGGGGGTATACTGTTTTACCCTTGTGTGTTTGTCTGTCTGTCCGTAACAAATTTTGGTCGCAGTTTTCTCAGCAACTACTCATTGCAGATGCTTGAAATTTTAGCACAATCTTTGTTTAGGCATGCCATATGGTGGGATTCATTTTTGTATGAATCTGATGTCAACTTCCTGTTAATCCGTGCATCTGTCTGTACCATACATAAAAAATTTTGGTCGTACTTTTCTCAGCAACTACTCATCACAGATGCTTGAAATTTTAGCACAATCTTTTTTTAGGCATGCCATATGGTGGGATTCATTTTTGTACAAATCCAATGTCAACTTCCTGTTTATCCGTGCGTCTGTCCGTACCATACATAACAAATTTTGGTCGTAGTTTTCTCAACAACTACTCATTGCAGGTGCTTGAAATTTTAACACAATCTTTGTTTAGGCATGCCATATAATGGGATTTATTTTTGGAACAAATCCGATGTCTACTTCCTGTTTATCCGTGCGTCTGTCCGAAACATACATAGCAAATTTTGGTCGTAGTTTCCTCAGCAACTACTTCTCGCAGATGCTTGAAATTTTAGCACAATCTTTGTTTAGGCATGCCATATGTTGGGATTCAGTTTTTACAAATCTGTTGTCAATTTCCTAATTATCACTGTCTTTGTCTATAACTGAACTTGTGTATTCACATCAGAGCGAGGGTATTATTAGTGAGCATTGGCTCACAGACTAATTGTTTTTATATGTCTTTGAGATGTTAGTATGATCCTCATTTAGGACACTAGTATGGGTCAGTTAAATTTTTAATTAAAAGTTTAAGGTAATCATGTAAACACCCCAGATACAAAAGACATTATAGTCTAAACAATTGACATGCTCTTTGGCATTTTAAAAATTCAATGAAACTATGTTTCATTTCGCTAAGGTCTAATATCTGGTTTCTGATAGGCTATAAAGATACTACTAAGTCAATTCCTTCTTGTACTTAACTCTAAGGGCTTAATAGTTTAAGTACTATGGAATCATATTTTGCCACGGTCCAATGTTTGTAGATTGCACATTCCCCCTCTACACTCAATTTTACAATCTCAATGGATATTTTAACTTTTATAACAATATATGTAGGTACAAAATTATGTTCCCCCTAACCTTTCAATTTTTACCATTGAATCCACAAACACAGGCCATAACAAATGATTCCATGGTGATATTGAGAAATTAATTCTTGTATAGATATTTAGAGTACCAGCAGGTGACACATGTCTAATCATGTAATCTTCCTCTAGTCATCTAATCTTCCATCATCATAACGTTTCTGAGACAAAGAATTGTGGTAATTTAACTTTGCACATTTGAACAAGTGCTGCATCATATCTCAATATTTAGAACATTTCTTAGACTAACAATTCGGTAAATGTTGAGATTTTTTTAAGATAAAAGTTAAAATTTTCTTTTTAAGGTGTATAAGATGTAAATTTAATGATTTTAAATTATATACCACATACATTATTTAATATTTTAGTTAATATGTTTCATCATGCTCATATATATTACCTTATATGCATTATTTAATATTATACTTTCATGTAAATTAGTTTGATATGATTTGTTGAGAAACATTTGTTGAAAAACACTATTGCCCGCTGAATGAAGAAGCCACGTCCTCCAGCGTAGCAACAGTCAACATTGCTTGACAGCTGGTGATATTCCAAAAAATAGTGACTGTGCAGAATTTATGCATGCAGGTTTACTGTTATATGTTTTAGTATAAAACATTCAGTATAATATAATAAATATTGCATGTAGTTGAGTGTAATATTGAAAATTTTCACCCCTCGAAAACCTGTATTGTCAACCTCAGCTTCACCTTGGTTGACAAAGGTTTTCTTGGGGCGAAAATTTTCAATATTACACTCAACTACATGCAATATTTATATAATATCATATGTCTCATGAAGTCAACACATTAACATTTACATCTTAAGTTTATGTAAAAGATCACACTTCCAAATGGGGGAAGAATATGTTGTGTAATACTTTCAATCGAATCACTTTAATTTTTTGGTTATTTTGTCTTTCACAGAGGGGAATGCAGGTACACCCATTACCCGGACCTCAGAAGGTATGCACAGCAATTTCTGTATAAAAATAGATTTAAAGCTAATGTGAAACAGTTTTTTGGCTTTTAAAATAAAACTGAAGAGAATAAATGTGTAGCGCAATAAGCAACAACAAATAAAAACCCTTGTAGTTGTTCTTGACATTTAGTTGCAAGTTGTTGTTTTCAATTTTATAATCAGTGTTGACTGCAATTCAGTATTACCCTAATACTTTAATAAAATAGATGAGACTTTTTGAGCAAGGCCAGAATTTGAATTGAGAGACTGTCATTTCAGAAACTAGTGATGCTGGTATCATAGCTGGGGGTGTGATCGGAGGACTGGCATTTCTTATACTCGTTATTCTTCTTGTCTATTTCCTTGTGCTCCGCAGAAAAACAGATGGAGAAACTTGTAAGTTGCTAACTCCCTGATGAGAATGTCTGTTTCATTGACAGTCTTAGATATGCAAAATACTTTCCCTGTTTCATCTACAGAATATAATAATATATCACAAATCTATGTTACGTCTTGATATATTCTCAAAACTTTGAAGGGGAACACAGTAATAGATAAATGTAAAACTTTTAACTCTCTAATTATTTAGAAACTTTTTACTATAATTTTTTTTAATCCTTGATTACTATGATTGGTACATTTATGGTGTACCCAGTTAAATTCATACAGTGAAACACACAAATTATAAGGAATTCTTGGTCCCCTCACCCCTCATACTTCTTTTGTAGATAAAGGGGGAAAAAAGGTTTTAAAGGACTTGATTATAAGCAATTTTTGATTAAAAACAATGTGATGATTATTCTCTAGTATTAATTTAAGTGAATAATGTGTTTCCTTTGTAGTTTGTTCAAAAGCTAACCTTAAAAAAGAAAAATTCATGTAAAACTTTTGTCCACGTATCCTTACATTTTCTCTTTACTGCTGATAGATCAGAATGTAACTTTCACATACATATATATACAGCAATCTGAATATAATCACATTGTAATGTCATGGCATTTTTAGCTCACCTCGACGAAGTCGAGATGAGCTTATGCTATACCCCCGGCGTCGGCGTCGGCGTCGGTGTCGGCGTCGGCGTTAGCGTCGGCGTCCCAGGTTAAAGTTTTAGGAGCAAGTCCCATTCCCAAGTAACTATAAGCCCTACCTGGACCAAACTTGCATGGATGATGCATCTAGGGATGGACACTACCACACTTGCTTCGGATGCTGGATCTGACCTAGATTTTCCAGATGAGTGACCAGGTTAAAGTTTTAGGAGCAGGTCCATTCCCAAGTAACTATAAGCCCTACCTTGACCAAACTTGCATGGATGATGCATCTAGGGATAGACACTACCACACTTGCTTCGGATGCTGGATCTGACCTAGATTTTCCAGATGAGTGACCAGGTTAAAGTTTTAGGAGCAGGTCCATTCCCAAGTAACTATAAGCCCTACCTGGACCAAACTTGCATGGATGATGCATCTAGGGATGGACATGGCCACACTTGCTTCGGATGCTGGATCTGATCTAGATTTTCCAGATGAGTGACCAGGTTAAAGTTTTAGGAGCAGGTCCATTCCCAAGTAACTATAAGCCCTACTTGGACCAAACTTGCATGGATGATGCATCTAGGGATGGACATGGCCACACTTGCTTCGGATGCTGGATCTGACCTAGATTTTCCGGATGAGTGACCAGGTTAAAGTTTAAGGAGCAGGTCCATTCCCAAGTAACTATAAGCCCTACCTGGACCAAACTTGCATGGATGATGCATCTAGGGATGGACATGGCCACACTTGCTTCGGATGCTGGATCTGATCTAGATTTTCCAGATGAGTGACCAGGTTAAAGTTTAAGGAGCAGGTCCATTCCCAAGTAACTATAAGCCCTACCCGGACCAAACTTGCATGGATGATGCATCCAGGGATGGACACTACCACACTTGCTTCGGATGCTGGATCTGACCTAGATTTTCCAGATGAGTGACCAGGTTAAAGTTTTAGGAGCAGGTCCATTCCCAAGTAACTATAAGCCCTACCCGGACCAAACTTGCATGGATGATGCATCCAGGGATGGACACTACCACACTTGCTTCGGATGCTGGATCTGACCTAGATTTTCCACATGTGAGACCAGGTTTAGATTTAGGAGTAGTCTCGTTTCCAATTAACTATAAGCCCTACCTGGACCAAACTTGCATGGATGATGCATCTAGGGATGTACACTAACCAACCTGCTTCGAATGCTGGATCTGACCTAGATTTTCCACATGAGTGAATTTTAGCCATATTTTTACCAAATTAGCATGGATGATGTATCTAGGGATGGACACTTCCAGACTTGCCTTGGATTCTGAATCTGATGTACATTTTCCAGATGAGTGACCAGGGTAATTTTTTGGAGTAGCTATATAATATTATGGCCTGTTATGATTAAACTTGCATAGATGGTGCATCTAAGAATGAAAACTTCCAGACTTGCTTTGGATGTTGGAAGTGACCAAAATTTTCTTGATTACTAAACAGGTCAAAAGTTTTTTGAGCAGGTCTATAATTAAATCAAACTTGCATGGACATTGAACTTGGGATGTACCCTAACTAGAAAAAAAATATGATGTGAAATTTGCTTTACATGTAGATAACATTCGTCGAGGTGAGCTTCGTAATCTTTGATTACCTATGTTTTGTACATAAGAGTGTAATATGTAATAAACATATATTTTATTTAGTCATAAGGGACTGCTAGAGTTGTTCCAAGAAATTCCATTTCAGCAATATGTCGATGTATCATTTGAATAATTTAGTAAGACAATTTCACACTTTTTCACAATTCCATCAATTAACATTATAAGGATATTTTCACCTTTTTCTTGTAATTATTTCATCAGTATCATCTCCCACTGGTAACTATACATATTTTATTCATGCATATACATGTATATATATTCTTGAATTATTATTTTTAATCGGTGTGAAAAATTCAGGTTCAGAGATTCTAAGTTTCGTTAAATAATGGAATGAAGCCTGTATGTATTTAAAAGTGTAAATAAAATATGTCTGTAACAGGAATGATTTACTGCTAAGTTTGTAATGATGAAGTACAGCCTTTCTCAACATTTTCAAATTATACCAGAATGCCATAAACGCATGCTTGCACTGAATATACTAGTACCTAACCATCCATCTTCACTGACCAGTTTATCAATAAATGTAGCGTTATTAGGATTTTTTAGGTTTCCCACACAGAATATAGCAGAATATCATTGTTACTGAACATGAAAACAGAGAATTATTGTTACCACCTTTGTTCAGTTAATTACTAATTATTATCAGGAATGTATTTGTATCCTCAGTATATACATGCATTAAAATAAAATTTAAACTATGCTTATAATCAAAAGTATTCATTACTTTTAGTAAACAAAGACTGTCAGTATGTAAATATTCTACCAATGTTCAAAAAGATACCATATTTTTCTTTTTAGTCTAAATAAGAAAGAAAAAGAATGAGATGGATTTATTTTAAAATAAATGTGCATGAAATATTTGTTTTTGAACAAGAATTTGTAAATCTTTTGATTTTCTTTTTTTTTATTCCAGACAGAACAAAAGAAGATGTACCGGGGTAGGTTAACTTACCAGTCTCTAATAATACAAAGATCAGATTGTATTAAAGTCATCAACCTGCATACCTGGCTGTCTGTAAAACTGATTAATGCAGTTTGCCATCACTGTATTAAAATGATATAAAGATATTAAAAAGGAAAACATTGTCCAAACTTTGATAGGTTGCGACTATCTATTGCTTCATATTTAACAACATAACAATGTAAATACAATGTATTTTGTATAAGCTTCTCATATGAAATTGATACCATAGCACAGTTAACTTTTATAGTAAGAAAATACCTTCAAAGGACACTAGAATATTAAAAAAAAAAATAAAATTTTTAGATCTATTTTGTTTAAATTACATAAACATAACCTTTATCAGTTTTAAAATATCTTTCAGACTATGGATATGTATTATATGATGTAAAGGTAATTTATTTATCCATGAAGTTTACCAATGATGAATACCACTGTTGTTTACCGACACTGTATAATTGTGTATTGTAGGTACAATGGACCAGCCAACCCAGAGGGACCTGTTTATAGTGTTCCAGTCAAGGACCACCCCCCTGAGAGACAGGTAAGCTGACCTTTGACCTTGTCATAATTATTTAAAGGGCAGATTGTTTCATTTCTGTCAAAATTTACACTGAGATTCATAGCACCTTTAGATATGTGTAAATATTGATGATGAATTTTGTCTGACTCATGTCAGAAATTTGATAAAGCAAAATTGGAGATTCTGAAACCTTGTGATATTTAATGTGGCATTTCTGGAATGTTTGTAAATATGAACCATGTATGTAACCTAAGTATATAATTTAGGATCAATAATATGTACTTGTTGTTTTAAACTGTTTAGGAATTGTTAGATGAGGTATGAAATATTAATCTGTAAACAGAATGTTGTAATTATCTTAGTAATTGTAATCTAGACTATGATGTGAATTGTCTTCAACAACATACCAAGTACATGTACATTGTATTTAAAGGCTTGCAATATATGTTTTACCAGTTTTAAAATAGCCAGAGTTCTTTTTCTTTTTCACATTTTGTATGCACAAGTTTACATTTAGGGTATTGGTAGGGGAGTTTTTTTTTTTTTTTTTTTTTTTTTTGCAAATGATATAATATATAGGATCTCCCATGGTTTTTTAGCTCACCTGAGCTGAAAGCTCAAGTGAGCTTTTCTGATCACCCGTTGTCCGTCGTCCGTCCTTCTGTCCTTCCGTCCGTCTGTAAACTTTTCACATTTTCAACTTCTTCTCAAGAACCACTGGGCCAATTTTAACCAAACTTGGTACAAAGTACCCTTGGGTGAAGGGGAGTTTAAATTGTAAAAATAAAGGGCCAAGTCCCCTTACAAGGGGAGATAATCAAGAAAAGACAAAATAGGGTGGGGTCATTAAAAAATCTTCTTCTCAAGAACCACTGGACCAGAAAAGCTGAAACTTATGTGGAAGCATCCTGGGATAGTATAGATTCTAAATTGTTAAAATCATGACCCCCGGGGGTAGGGCGGGGCCACAATAGGGAATCCAAGTTTTACATTGAAATATATAGGAAAAATCTTTAAAAATCTTCTTCTCAAGAACCACTGAGCCAGAAAAGCTGAAACTTATGTGGAAGCATCCTGGGATAGTGTAGATTCTAAATTGTTAAAATCATGACCCCCGGGGGTAGGGCGGGGCCACAATAGGGAATCCAAGTTTTACATTGAAATATATAGGAAAAATCTTTAAAAATCTTCTTCTCAAGAACCACTGAGCCAGAAAAGCTGAAACTTATGTGGAAGCATCCTGGGATAGTGTAGATTCTAAATTGTTAAAATCATGACCCCCGGGGGTAGGGCGGGGCCACAATAGGGAATCCAAGTTTTACATTGAAATATATAGGAAAAATCTTTAAAAAAAACTTCTTCTCAAGAACCACTGAGCCAGAAAAGCCGAAACTTATGTGGAAGCATCCTGGGATAGTGTAGATTCTAAATTGTTCAAATCATGACCCCCGGGGGTAGGGCAGGGCCACAATAGGGAATCCAAGTTTTACATTGAAATATATTGGAAGAATCTTTAAAAATCTTCTCAAGAACCACTGAGCCAGAAAAGCTGAAACTTATGTGGAAGCATCCTGGGGTAATGTAGATTCTAAATTGTTCAAATCATGACCCCCAGGGGTAGGGCGGGGCCACAATAGGTATTAGAAGGGGGGAAGTCTGGTAATGAACAGCATGGCCAAAGTTACTCAGGTGAGCGATGTGGCCAATGGGCCTCTTGTTAATGTTTTACTTAATCACTGTAATACAAAACCTTTGTGATGTCACAACTGTTGATATGAAAATGTTTCATATGACTGATATCCACTACAAAAAGAAGTAAACATGTGATAAAAGCTTCATAATAATGATCTTATGCTGATCAGAGCTCAACAATCCAGAGGAGTGGAAAGATTGAAAGGGGGGAGGGGGGGAGGAGAGCAAAATATTCCTTTTTTTTAAGTAAGTTAACTTCTAAGAGCATGGGAACTTGTTATTTCTATATGACATTTGAAGCAGACTCTTGGTTGAAAAAACCAATTATTACATGCTTCTGATAATGAACATTCTGTTACAAGTAAATCCACTACTCCATAGGCTTTATTTGCAAATTAAGCATATTTAAAATATGAGATATTTAATATACAGTAAAACATGCTTATAGCGAACATGCTTAAATTTCATAGACATATACAAGTGATTTTATTTCCCGTGACTTTAAAAGTATATTGTAAACTTATCAAATATAACAAATTACGCTTATAACAAAGCAAAATGGTCCATCCCTGGAACTTCGTTATAGGCATGTTTTACTATACTCTTATTTACCAGGGTTTATATTTCAATACTATTTATTTATGAGTGTTTTGCAATGTCAATGTGTATCAGTTATATAAAGTCTTATTAAATTCTGACTGCATGATGTGAGGCATGACCAAAAGGATGAATGAATCTAAGCGCATGGCAGATGTTACTATTCAAAAGTTGCTTCATCTAATCAAGTTGCTATTTATTTGCATAACAGATAAATTTCCTCTTTATTAAAGGTCTAAATTTTAAATTATAATTGACTTTGAGATTGATATTGTGGTGGTAGGGTATGGGCAGTCTGCCATGCTTCACTGATTCATATTTCCCTTTTGGTCTCTACAGAGGGAAGACACTGATCACCATGGTAATGGCACGGCAACACAGGAGGAGCCAAGAAAGGAACTCCACTATGCTGACCTTGACATAGCCACTCAACCTCCAGGAACCAGGGTCAAACCACAGCCCAAACCTCGAGCGGAAGTAACCAATACAGAATACGCAAGTGTTACGTTTGGCAGCACTGTGTAAATATCTCGAAGTAATCAATCATCCATGTGACCAAAGATGTCATGAATATTGTTTTCTAATTTTTTTCATTTTTACAGATTAGCATTTAATCTGAATATTTAATTTATATTTCTTGTTTCTGTGCCTGAGTATTAGGTACAAATGACATGTTCTTCGTAGAACGTAAAATCCATTAAGGATTCCTTCATACTCTTTTTGGCAAAAACTTCACTGCCTTCTAATAGACTGCCTTGAATGTACCTGCATGTCTTAAAGAAGCATTTTGTAGTCTCTTTCCACAGTAGAAATGTAGCTATTTTATTATTATCTTTTAATCACTTTTCATTCTGACTAGGGTATAGATTTTTAGTAACTCATTAATCAAAAAAGTCACAGGAAGTTAGCACGTTTTATGCTCTTTAGAGCTCTTGCCAAATAGATTTATTTTGTCTTCCCCCTGTGAGTAACCTTTGAGAAATCATTGTGATGTTTAGAGAGAAAATTAACCAAGTTAGGTGATGTAGACTAAGGTTATACACAGTTGTGATATTTAATATGTATTGAAGAGTTAATTAAATGTTTAACAAACAGAAATTATTTTGATTATTATTTTGCATATTGATCACATTCTATGCAGATTTTCGTATGCAAAGAAGTATATTTATTAGCAATGTAATTTGGAGCATATAGTCAATTTTGATGAATTAGAATTTGTGTGTGTGTGTGTGTGTGTGCAAATTACAATCATGGAGAAATTTCACTTAATAGACATGAATTAAGTTCATCATGTATATGATGGGATAAAAATTTTATCTTATTTGAAAACAGGTCTATCTAATAATTGATCTCTCGAAATGTTTGAATTTTTCTTTAGTAAGTACAATAAAAACATGGAGACAAATTAAATTGATTTATTAAATCCATAATTTATTATTCCACTTAATTATTCAATATTTGTCAAGTACAGTTAAAATTCAGTGTCTTGTATATTGATATCGATATGCTGAAGAAGTTTTTTCTTGGTCCAAATTTGAGATAACATGTCAAGGTTTTACTGTACTTGATGAACAAAAATAAATTCAGTGTAGGCATGAATTTGCAATGTCCATGTTTACTATACTGTATTTTGCCTCACATTCCTTGGTTGAACAATGTTTTCTATTCTTATTAAAATTGAAAGAAACAAATTACTTCAAAATAAAATATTTATTTATTCTGAAGAAGATGCTGAAGTTAAATTCCTGCTGAATTGAAAATTAATCAGTGTTTTTCCTTCATTTCAAAGTAAACAGTTGGAGATCAATTGTAACAGGCTAGGGGTTGAGGTTTATGAACAAAATTTCTTTGGAACTTACAACAATTCTGTTTAGATTTTGATTTCTAAACAACATTTATATCAATGGAAATGGTCATTTTGCCAGTTCTTAGGGAAAACACTGCTTAATATCAGTATCAGAAGGAGAAAAAAGAGACTCTCGTTACCAGCCTTAATAGAGAGTGACTTCTGATTAATAAGGATGTTGGTATTTGTATAATATTTTTTTTTAAAAAAAAAGTATTTTGTGTCGGACCATTTTTTAAAAAAAAAAATTTAGTGTTAAGTTTACATATCAAGCTTGTCCAATACAACGAATGCTCGCCTAAATACTTCTAATGTATTCAGTGACAAATTTGATTATGGTGAAACTACCCATATTACTCCCCACCTTGTTCCCCCATCTTGAGGGGAGAAAAAGATCTTCACTGGTGTAATCATTTTATTTTTCCTTTTTGACCTAGGTATATTAAGCAAGATATTTTTGATACACAGAGTTTTTTTTCTCTATTTTTAGAATGAACAGTGTATCTTTTGTAATGAATTACTGTTTATTTGGGATTGTCCAGGAATTAAGCATTCCTTTTTATTCTGAGTTATTTATTTATGATGTGTGATTTGTTGTGTTATGTAGAATACATGTACATGCATATACACTGAGTTATTTTTTTTTAGCAAAAAACTTTTAAAACCATAATGACAGTTAATCATTTGTTTAGATTTTGTGAACTCTGAATAATATAGATCAATAACTTTGTTATTCAGAATGTATAGACATAAGTTTGTTCATTCTTAGTATTTAATTCATTTTTTATATCTGTAGTAAGCAAGATTAAAGTGCATTTGTTATTTCCATTTCATAGAGCATTAGATCAAAGTAGAGACATGAAAGAGGTATTGTAACTGTTTAGATGCTGTTATTGGTGCTATGATCTCAGAAACACACAGCTGAATATTAAGGGCTGTAGAAATTTGACCATTCTGTGATCTTGCTTTGTGTGCATGTCTGTGTTGTGTTTACATGTAAATTATTACATTCATGTATATTGTTATTTTGGGAAAGAGATTGTATTTTTTCACCAGAGATGATATTAAATAAAATCTAGAAAATCCACATATAGTTTGTGAATTGATATATCGAACTCTTGAGTATTGATTCTTACAGGAAGCTACATACTGCATACAAAGCATGCTGGAATATACAGAGCATTTAAAAATGCATGACAAAAATAGAAGCATTATCAATATTCCATGCATATATCTTTGCATTGATGTCCAAATCATTTTTTTTTCACACAGAAATTGACATTTACTATTATTTTAACTTGTGTTTTGTAATAGAATCCAAAGACTTGCCTGAACTGATTAATTCAGTGAAACTCCTCAAAACCGAAATACAGCTACCAGTATAATTTCTACATGTATTATGAAATACATGTAATACATATAATTTGTGTCACCAAGCCTGTACTTTGAATTGAATGATCTGGCAATATTTAAATTGGCTTTATTATGAAATTGTTTGATTCTAGAATTTATTGGAATACATGTGTGTAGTTAGTACCGTGCATTTAAAGTTTCCTTAATTCCATGAAGCATTTTGTTTGGCTGACTAGTAACTGAAGTTTGTCACAGTGATGAATAAAGTCCAATTGATTGAAATTAGAAATTATTTTGATTCATTTCCTCAGTATATAGTTTTGAATGAAAATTTCCATGAATTTAGTTAATTTGCAAAGCTGGATTTGTCAATTTAGACTTACTCATACATTGATTTTCACTATAGTTACTGCAAATCAGATAACCATTAATGTCTATCCCTGACATAGACAGTTTATCCTTTTGTATAAGAAAATTGCAAAAAAAGAGTTGCATAAAATTATTTTTTAACTTAAACAATTTAGAGATACTTAGATTCTGATGAGTGAATATCTGAATGCTGTACTGAATTTGAGTTATGGTTGCCTTGATCAAGAGTTTAAATGCCAATGTTTTCCAAATGCCATGATGGTACTTGCAGAAAACCAGCTGTCCAGATTCCACAGACATGCTTGTCAAATACTGTCTTTTGCTTTTTACAATATTTTTTTTTCATTTTAGCCACGTAAAAAGCATCCACGAGATCACGAGGACGATGGCCGCAGAAGATACCGTAGGGGACATGAGAATGAAGGGCTAGATGATGAACACACAGAGAAGAGGGAGATGGATGATGATAATAAATATGAAAACCATGGTTATACCAATAGGGTGATGAATGAATACAATGACGGTGATGTTATGCCACGGGGAGGACAAGGAATTGGATCAGCTGTTTAGTGTGAGTAGATGATAAGATTTGGACTTCAAGTACAGGGTACAAAAGAGAAACTGCCATCAATGTTCACTTTCAGAGAGAAAGATAAAAGTGCTGATCACTAGACTTTTTTCAGTCAGGCCCCAAGACCATAAACTGAGAACAGACTTTAAGTCAAAATTTCAAACCAATATAACTTTTGAAATAATTTTGATAATAAAACAAAATTTTTATCATATATTTGAATTTAAATGTTATATAAAATTGCAAATTTTTAAGCAAATATACATGTACTAAATAAAACTCAGGATATTAAAAATCAAAATTTGGACTTGAGTCTATTCTCAGTTTATGGTCTTGGGGCCTGGTCACAAAGTTAATTTTTTTAAGTGTCTCAGTTGTTGTTATGTGGAATGGGAGGAAAAACTCGTTGTGAAATTAGTGATCATGATTTTGATCATTGCATTTTTACTTTACAGGTGGAGTCGGTAACAGTTATGAACAACTTTTTGCCATTTTAGACAAGGGGAATATGCCTGGCCAGAATATTATCTACAGACAAATAGCCTGGAGAATAACTTACTATCTATGCAGACGCAAATACGCCCTCACTTCCTCCCCTGTTCTATTGTATATTGCTGGCGGACATTGTTACCATGAAAGACATATACACAAAGTACATGTAGTTACTCGGTAGCTAATTCTGATTTGTTATCTAATCAAGGTTTTTGTACTGTGATGGATTCAAATAGATGATCACTTTTACTGATGGTTTTGGAATTTGATAAATATTTAATTAGAAATGTATCATTAGCTTTACAAATACATATTGACTCAAACAGGAAACTCTATAAATTATATGACGTAAACTCTAAAAGAATACACTTTATTTAACTTAAGATTATCATTTCATGTTACTTTAGAAATCTAAATGTGACAGTTATTAAAGGGTTTTAAAATTGGTGTTAGTTTTCAGGAAAATAAACCAAGTTTTCAAAAGGGTTGACATGAATTACACAGTAACAATGTGCAATATTATACAGTGGATAGGTTGTGCTTACAAGGATGAATCATTACCATATTGTGATTTTGTAGCAATGGGCATTGAAAAACCTTAAGAATATTGGATGTAAGATGTTAAGCATGAATTCAAAGTGTTCTTCTGGAAATAGGTGAAATAGTCTCTTTTTGATTTCAAAAACTTGCACGCTTTATGTCTTGCCCCTTTACATGATACATCAATAGAATCTCTGTTTGTAGCAGTTTACAAACACTAAAAATCTGGTCCACTGTGTCTCAAGAGTTAAGTCTATGATCATCATTTTTAACTAGTTCATAGCTGCATCATGTTTCTTCCTAATTGCTTAGGAATAACTGAGAATATTTTCAAAATCATTTAGGATAGAAAGGGGATGATAAAATATGTGCATTTTAACTGGGAGTTGATGAATGGATGACAAATTATGCTGAGAATTATCAAGGTCATCATCAGTGTTGACATTCTTAATGCCATACAGAATGGCAGCACATAGGTGTACTCGGCATCATTTCTTCTGATTGTGATGTCTTATTATTAGTGAACAAGTGCTTATTTTATTTTTTTTTTTTAATTTTTTGGTGAAGATAGAAACAACTCTGTAAAGCCTACCTCTGAAATCTTGTCACAGCACATAATTGAGGCATCTCTTTTTTGTTTTCCCTTACTTCTCCTGTGTATCTATTTCCTATAACTCTGACGTATAAGGTATTTGGGTAAAAGATATATTGAAATTTTTAATAAATAACCTTTTAGAATTGTTTAGTTAGCAATGTCAAAATGACATTAATTTTATACCCTCTTAGTTACTGTTGGGAGAAAGTGATAAGTGTGATATTATTTATCATGATTGTTTTCTGATGATCAAGTGCAGCTTCATTGTTAAATCTGTACATTCCTAGCTCCACTAAAGTCAAGTCATTCCATAATATAATATGTATGCTTTCCATCAGTTGTCGGTTGTGTAAAGAAAACATCCATGTACAATTTTGTATCGTTACTGTTAGGTCATAAAAATGATTGTTTTTTTAATGGTTTTTTTGTAAATCCATATATGTATATTTTTTTGTAATTATTACTTTATTTTTTATAGATCATCAAATGATTTTTTATATATATACAAATGTTGTGTGATTGCATCTTAAACTTGGTGATTTTACTGTTACATTTTAGTCGAGACTGACATTATATGTGCCATGCTCACTAGCCCATTTCACGATTTACTTCCCTTGTATCTGAACAAGCATAGAATTATAGGTGTTTAGTTAGTTGAATATTATGAAAAAATCATTTGGTTAATGATGTTGCCACACTTTCATATTTACCTCAGTAATTTGATGTGCATTCTTTTCTCTCAATTTATAAAGACATTTCAACACAAAAAATGGATTTCTGAAACGTTTGGAATATTTCATTTATTTTTTTTTAAATAAATTACTGTTCTTGATTGAAATCTGTGAATCCAGTGCTATCTATCTGTATTTTCATTAATTATGTAAACTGAGAAAATATCTAGCTTTATAATTTCTATAGATGGAAAAAGGATAACTAATGACAATTCAGTAAATATTGACTGTTCATGAACATACACTGGTGAAATATTTGGGGGTACTTAAGATTTTGATGAAGTTCCCCAATTTCTTTTTAAGACCCAGTTTCTTTGATCAGCATGGCATGTGATTCAATCAAACAATTTTTATACCGAGTCTTAATTGAGGAGTCACTTGAAACTCTGCCTTCATTTCAGATTTGAATTTTTATGTCTGATGATTACACTTAATGAATGTAAATTACATGAAACCAAGTATACATATCTATTTCCTCTGAAATATATATATCTACTAATAAAGCTTCTTAAAAACAAAGGAAAATAGTTGATTTAATTCAGTGGAAGAATCTGTATAATGTTTGTATAATTATGTAGATAAAGTTACAGAAAACTGAAACATCTTAAGCACTTAGCTTGCATCCTGAATAAGTGTTTCCAAAGAGGTGATGTACTGTTAACACCTTTTAATAACAAAGGTAACCATTTCAAGTTTTGGTTACTATATTTGAGAATTGCTTTGAGATGAATGCATAGTATGTCAAAGTTGAAGGTCAACTCTCCTTTTAGTGTACAAACTTTATATTCTCCTTACTCGGAAATATTAACTTGCAAAAGATGTTTAAGTACATGTATATAGTTCCTGGCTCTCATGGGTCACCATATTCTTATGTTGAATGCAGTTTGATGATTCCCCCCTCCTCCCAACAGGGGCTTAATTTTTATTCATATCCTATGGACATATTTTTAGTTTTTATTAAGGTCACTGCAAAATGAAGGATTTGTAGGATCAAGGTCATAAATTGTGGGATCAATTAGTAGTTAAAGAAATTAATGCCACAATTGAATTGCTTTTAATAACAAATACACTGTACGTATGATTGTATGAATTTTGATTAAAAATTTTCAAAGATGAAGTTGAAGGTCATAGGAAAGAGGTCAAGGTCAGAAAATTTAACGTGTCTTTGAATAATATGTTGGAAAGTGAAGTGAAAGGCCATACATGCAGGGAAGGCCAGTGTTGAGGTATTTCCATTCTCACAATTCTAATGGTTCAAAGTAGAAAAACTGCATTTTTTTCAACGAATATAGTTTAACTAATAATTGCAAAAAATGAATAGGTTGCCATATTTTTTGAGATGTTTCTCATAGATAATCAGAAGTATGTATCGGCATTAAAAATCGAACACTTTTTAGTAAACTGTATCACAAAAGTTATGTAAAAGCTGGTTCAAATACATAATTCTGACACTGAATGTTCCAAAATAATTGCTACTTTATAAATATGTTTTAATTGTGAATATCAGGAAAAACATTTTACATTAGAAGAGAAATAAAGAAAATGCCTGAATGAAGGTACATGAGAAGGAGTTATCACCCTTAGCAACATTTTTTAAAAGATTGAATAATTAATTAAAAAAAAAGAAATTTACATTTTTAAAAATCTTTTACTTGACAATATTTTTCATTACACCTATTGAAAAGCATTCTTGCAAAAGATATTTTTCTATTTGTTGTGATTTCAAATTGATAACAGTTTTTGCAAAAAACTTACGACATCACAGGAGGATAAATTATCACAGTTGAATTGCTGTCACAAAACTGTACTGATATATGGAATCTTGAACAGTGTCTTTCAAACTAAGGTACTAAGTTCATAGTTATAGGGAGGGTCAAAATCAGAAAATAATGACAAAGTTGAACTTGTCAGCTACACCAATTTATTTCAGTATAATTATGAAGTTTAATGAAAATGCAAAACGAAGAAATGTGAGGTTAAGGTCCAAGGGAAGTTCAAGGTCAGAAAAATTATGACATAGCTTTTACGAATACGGATTAGTAAATCAATTTTGTTAAAAAAAATTTGTTGAATTATTTTGAAACTGAGCTACATGCACATGCTAAGTGTGACGGTCGGAAGACGGATCTTTGACAAACACTACATGCATTGGCCATATTCATGGCAGGACATAAAATACTGAAGTTTTTAATCGATTCAGCCGAAAGTCGAACTCAAAGACCTTCAGCATCCATCTTCTAACAAGGCCTTCAATCGAGATGGTTGACCACTGAACTGTATATTCTGGCCTCCACAAGGAAAAAAAGAATCTTCAAAGCTTCATAATTCATATGCATGTACCCGGGGACCAGTACATGTATATAGGTCCATGATGTACCAATATCAGCTCCACAACTTACATTTAGTAAATAAACCATTACAAACTTATCAACTTCTTGAGATGAAACAAATGTACATTGGTCTTTAATACCGCTTAGGCGAGTTAAATTTGTATTTTTTCTGCAATTCCCTGAAAGCATTTCATAATGTTTGAATACGTATGAGCAAGATTTTAAAATTATTTCACGAGAGCCCCTCCCCGACCTTTTTTAAAGAAAAATAAACCTTAGCCCCTGTGCTTTAAATTCTCATGTAGAGAAAAGCATATCTCTAGGTTTTCATGTTTTTAGCTTCATTAGCAGAGAACGATAAGATTTGAAACATTTATGTTTTATTCAAAATTTTTAAAGGCAAGTTTATCGCAAATTTTACCATACACAGTATAGTTCGTTAACATGCACGAGTTAATGATGTCTTTTCTTTACTCGCTAAAACTTCGATCGAATATCGATCAAGGCTTACTTATATTTTAGAAAGTGAAATTTAGTATGCAAATTATATTACTGGTGACAAGTTCCACAGTTTGATCTGTGACTGAAAAACCTGATAACAAGACTTATTAGTGTTGAATTATGTATGCGATCACCATATGTCAATGCTGGAACTTTTCTTGTTTTCCATTGTTCCGGTGCTCTCTGTAGCGGCAAACACAAAAATAACTAGTTACTGTATTTTGTCACTTTACTGCAAATCAAAGAAGGTGTTGACAATGACCAAACAATTATAAACAGTAGGATAAATTGTCTTTAAAATCACCCAATTTTATCCATCAATGGGGGACGGAGCCACTAAAAGTATTTATAAGAATTGTAATCTACACAATTACATTTAAACTAAAACACGTTACAATATTTGACAACATTAACATTGTTTACACCTACGCCCACAGCGCCGTCTGTTGGACAGGTACAGAACTTTACAGCCAATTAATCATTGGTGATCGCATGCAGTGTTGTGTCGTCTGCTTATCAGTCAGTTGTGCCTGCGATCTCGCGCGTCACTTCGCGCTCTCTTCATCCTCCCATATGATAGTTACATTTTCTTGAGTTTCCTAACTGTGGAAAAGTGAGACTGCTGGTGGGAATGTTTGTCAAAATGAGGACCCTGATCCCCGGACTTTTCTCTTTCATATACTTAAATGAATTTATGAGAGTTTGTGGTAAGTGATGCGTTTGATTTATATATCTTTTGAAAGCATGAAATGGACATGAGACAGTTTTTTTCTTCTTCGTTTGTTTTTAACAGTTCATCAAGTTCCGCTTCTTCCACTAACTTTCAAGTAATGAGAAAATGTCCGTCGAAATTTTTGTGCAATTTTCATTTGAATTGACGATTTTTTCCCATTTTACATTAATTAATATTATATTTATTGACCATAACAGGATATAGGATGAACAAATAATTAATTTATCAAACATTCTTGCATTCATAAATACGTATTTTGTACAATATTTTCAAAACGACCGCATGCACAACAAATTTGAAAAAAAAAAAGATTAAAGAGATCAGGAATTTTAAAGATCACAGCTATAGGTGTTGTTTAACAATTATCTTTATCTTATCTTCCCTTAAATAAGAATCAAACTTCATAACCGATGTTAAGATTGAGACTAAACGTTAAAACAGATATCAACATATTCTAATTGTCATTAATTCGTTCTTGCAGTTGTAGATAATTTAAGCGCCCTCTGTTACAGTGTTAACTTTTTTTTTTTTTTTAGATGACAACTCTTATCATTCATTCAGACATACACAAAGAAGTATAAAAGCTCGTTCGTCAAAAAGCATTAAGAAATTTAAACAATTTGTAATCTGTAAATTCTTTTATTTCTTCAGATTTACAGATTTACAATCCTCCAGCGCCATGACCTGCTGTACAGCCGTGTCTGTACTCGACTTGCCAAACCTCTAATTAGCCAAGTTCTCACAGATTTTATTATTTTCTCTTATGTCGTCTATGTAAAATTGGCCTTGTTACTAATGCAACAAACAATATTGCAGACTTGACACGAACAGCCAAAGTTTAAATTCTTGACAAGTTATAATTGAGCAAAAACGCAGTTATAATTTTTATTAATTGTTCAAAGAGTGCACTGTGCCTAAGATCTCAAAAATAACCATTTTGACTGTAGAAACAGTTATTCTAGAACACATCGAGTCTTCTGGTAATGGTCTATTATCAAGTTACGTGACAGATTCGTTCTTTCTGTGGAATGTCAATTCTTCTCAAAGGAATACCACAGTTTGACTACAAATTACAATATTGATCAAGATATTGTAATTAAAACCAAGCGCCAATGAAATAGAAGTAAACACGGGTCACTATATCTCTAATTAGCATCGTTTGGTATAGGAAGTCCTAGAAGATTCGGTGTGTGTTGACCTTGATAGGGTCTGCAGCCGTCCAACACGAGCATGAGGAGGAATATCCCCCTAGTCGTGATAAGTCATTCCGATGATTTCGGTGGACCTGCCATACATAACGGCTAATTACACCCAGCCCCTTGGGAGGAATTTGTCAATTTCGTTCACAATGTCTGTCATGCTTTCACCAGTAGTGGCATCAACTGCAACATATATAACTATGTGACAAAGAGACTTTAGGGACACATGCATTAGGATACTATCAAACGTGCCAAAATCCATTACCCCTGGAATTTGTCTTGTGCTCTGGGTATAAAAGAGATTGACCGAATCCGTTTTGTAAACAGGCCAGCGCATCGTAAAGTGTTATTATTCAAGTACTTCAGAGCCACTTGAACAAGCAATATAAATTCTAATCCGTTATTATTAGCTTATATCTCCAAGTTTGGTCAGCTATCCATACAAGATCATGATCAACGCGAGTCATACGTGCTACATTAAATAAATGATACAAGATACAAATGCAAGAATAGAAATTGACCTTCCATTCAAGTGGTCACTCTTTACTTGGCTAAGCTACTTTGTATCGATAAAGGGATTACCATTTATTTTAAATGCATCTTTTTAGATCAATGAGGATACAATGGCTTTTATTAAAAGATCATGTGTTTTGTGTCTGTTTTCTTTTTGAGCGTGCCCTCGGTGTACAACGTTTCCCGCGGCGAAAGGAACACATTTGGTATCTTGCAAGGTGCGATATATTTTCAATATTTGATTGCTTTGTCGATGTAATACGTTTCATTCGCGCGACGGAGATACTCATTATGATAAGAGAGAATGATTTATTCATGCGGAAAGAATCACGACTTGTTTTACATCTGGAATGTTTAGTTCCGCTACAATTCAAATGCATGTTGATAATAAACCCAAAAAATATTGTCCATTACGTGTAAATTATTCAATCGGAAAAAATAATAATGAAAGTAAAACACAGGAAGCTCAAGGCATTTAATTCCCAGTTTACGGAACTCACACACCATTGAGTGTAATCTCTCTCTAGAAGTGTCGACTTCAAATGCAATCTGAAATCCTTCTTTCTAGAAGTGTCTTAAAATATCGACGTTAAGGAGGTAAATTGTAGTTTAATTAAGTCTGAAGTTGATGTTGACGAGGTATAAATGATATGATGGATATAGTAGCGGTGTTTATTCAGCGGGCAATATTTTTTGTCTTTTTTAACGACCACTTCACCAAACCTTCAAGTTTGCTGCTAGGTGTTCGCATAGTTACCTACTGTAAGCCCAGACCTTACTTGATCATAGAACAATAATGTCCACAACGTAACATGTTCTTTCTCTTGTATCATCGTAGAACATGTATATGTATAGGCTAAATGTAGCCAGTTCATATATTCTGGTACGGGCCAAGATGTTTAGGAAAAAAAGCTGTTTATTTCATACGGCGGAATATATAAATATGTGACACGTTGAAGATAAAAGTTCAATGCTCTACTGTCTGATGGTGACCAAAAGAGTTTTGCGACGTTAATGTACCCGTCGTCCGTCCGTCTGTCATTTTGTCCGTTAAAAAAAGAATTCCAAAATGCTACTCCTACTACAGTATAAGTGCAATATCAATGAAACTTAATAGTAAAGTAGACTACACTAGGATACATAAGCCCAGATTTTGTTTTCGTCGAATGGTGTTGTAATTCTGTATATCGGTTTTTGAGTCGCACTGCTTATACTAAATATAAAAATTCTGAGAACTTCATTCATAACGGTACCTTTCCTTACAGTTTTGGTCCGCTTTCCATAAAGCTTGGTAACACAAGAGACTATACTAAAATACATAATCCCCTTTAACAGTTTTTGATTTTGACTTACGGTGTTGCCATAGTAACTAAAATAGAAAATTCCCTGAATTATTTTTCAAAACCGCGACTCCTCCTACATTTTAATCCAATATCAAGAATTTTTTTATATGCATAAGTAGACTGTTTTAAGATACTTTATTCAGTAATTCGAATTCCGAAAATACACCGTGGGTTTCTGATTTCGAGCACGTAATTGCATGGTTACTAAAAATAGAAATTTGTGTAAAATTCTTTCAAGACGCTACTTCTCTTAAACATATTAAAGTCTCTCAGAGACTTCTTATTGTGTCACTTAAAATAATCGTTCCTCATAGTTTTACACTCAGTGATACGCAGCTGCATGTCCCATGGGATTTAAGTTTTCTCAAAATATAATTGCCTTCTACGCTGTTAGATTTTTCAATCTCACAAGTGGATATCCAAAAACTCATTTAGTAGCACAGATATTGGTGTCGGTGAATAATGGCTTGATTGTCTTAATGGCAGATTTCTTCAAGTGGTTAGAAAGTTTCCTTTAGATCAATATGTACACTAATGCCCTGTACTAAGCTACCTATCGGTTTAGTAGAGAGAAAAAATTAGGTGATGACTCAAGTTCATCAGCGCAAATCTCAAGATGTGAAAAGATAGTCGTTTGCAAGCTGCAAGCTTTATATATAATTGTAAAGTCTTAAGCATAGCAATGGTATTGTTCTTTCGAACAGGAACGCTAACAACTTTAGAGCAAGTGACAGGCATGATGGGAGAAATGGTCACTATAGAGTGTGACTATGTCAACCCTCCTGGCCGGAAGTGGTACGTCATCCAATGGAAGAGGAGAAACAATGGAACAGAACCAAAAACCATCGTCACGCTACAAAACAACTTCCTGACAGAGGTAATGGTGGAAACTATATGGATATGGTTTTCTAAGAAATACATGTAGAGTGTTGTTAAACTACTTAATATACATATACTAGTAATTGGATATACAGATAGTTCTTTCATGCACCTTTTTGCATTTCATTGGTTTGCTTTCTGACTTACAGGACACAAAGCCATTAGGAGCATCATGGAACGATGACCTTGACCCAGGTTTTCGCAGCCGAGCAAGGACGAATATTCGACAGGATGAGAACGGTTTGAAGTTTAACCTTGAGATCTACAACTTCGGCTGTGATGACAGAGGACTATATTCATGTGAAATGATTGGGGATAACTCTGCCACATCATTGACAAAGCTCGTTCTTAAGGGTCAGTACACTAAACCAAAGCCGTTAATTATTCAGTTACTTTATAAGTTAACACATCATCAAGCCTAGGGGGTCAATATAATTTTAAATGCTATTTATTTATTAAGTTTGCAAGTCTACAATCAATTTCATATTATATATCCAAAGTTCAGTAGACATGTTCGTGTTGTAAAATTTGTTTCAGCTTTTGACACTAATTAATTTACCAATAAGTTGGTAAAACTTGTGCCCAATCCTATTGATTATGTTTCAATAAAATATGTTTAAATACAATCTACCAATAAAGAAAGATGACACTGTAATTCAAGCAATAAGAATCACGTGATTAACTGAGAGTTCGCAAAAAATCACCCCGACGGTCTAGATGCGTAAACTTGAACACAGACGGTTAAAATTAAAATCTGTGAAATCCATGAAGAGAATAACACTACCGCATCCTTCAGATGATTGTTAAGCAGAACTGTCACAATGTCAAGGTTTTGTGATTTCGGAGTTCCGAAATCACAAAACCTTGACATTGTGAGGATGGATATGAACTTGCCAAATTTCTATTGTAACAATAGTCTAGATTAATAGGATTTTGGTATGTGATTTGATAATTAGATTAGTTACAATCGACAGTATAGACAATTTGTTATAAAAAACGGATCAATTAGTCCTTCAGGACATTAGTATAAATGTCAGTCTGATCTACAGGGTACAATACCTATAAGTATACTATGTCATAATAGGTATCATACCTATCTATTATTTACTGGTGCATGTATTTATAATTATCACCCGTTACGCTATTTTGTCTCACTAACAGTGCCATTGATTTCCGACATGTAGAAAAAAAAATCACGTACAACAATAACGTAGTACTCTGATAATGATTTGAGTTGAAAATAGTCCCAAAGCTACTAAAGAAAGAATTGGGAAGATTTTGGAGATAAGATTTATTAAGGATGCAACTTTTCAAATGAGACCTCGACGAGTGAGAAATGAAATTTTACTTTTAAATACGAAGAGCACACGAAAAATTGGGGGAATGATATGAACAAGTGGCTTCATAGATCCGATCAGTATTCACTCTGCATTCTAAAACCATACTTAGATCTAGATTTCATTCTAAGAAATTCTTACGCAGAGCGTATACGACGCGGATCTAAAAAGTATGAATTTAATTAGATTGGTTTGAACAACGGATACGAGATTAAGCTTACGAGCAGGCCACATACTCATTTAACAATGCGATACTCAAGACGAAAATTTTATAAATATGCATTAAAGCCATTGCTTCTATATACATGTTGCAGCCAGACCCGGGACACCTGTCATCAACAATGACGTCATTATCGTGGACGAGAACACCACATGCGAGTTAGAATGTGAAGTTTTGGCGGGGCTTCCCCCAGTCAGTCTAGTTTGGCTCATCTCCACCCCCGACAGTTCCAAGTATGAGCCAATGGATAATCTCCCAAACCAAATCGTCAAGCAGGGGACTGATTGCCGACCCAGGGTAATTCAGCATGTGCAACTGATGATTACTAAGGAAAACAGTGGTTCCATGTTTAGATGTCAGGTTGAAAACAGCATTTCTGATATCATCTCTGAAGATCTGTATGACGAAGTTCAAGTCAAAATACCGGGTAAAACTTTACTAACATTTCGAATATTGATTGTTAATGCCTCTTTGCCTTTTTTGTTAACATGTGCCAGTATGTTCTAGAACCATTGGGCCAATTTTGACCAATCTTATCGCAAATCATCATTAAGTAAAGGGGAATTAATTTTGGTATTTTATATCAATATACAATCATTTCCATATCGTGTTGATTCAAGTTTGTTCAGATTATGGTGCCCGGGGCTAGGATAGAGTCACAATAGGGATATTATATGTTTTACACTGGAATAAATAGAAAAGGTTTCATGTACAGGGTAGCAGGATCATTATTAGTCAACCTAATAGGAGAGCATCCTCATTGCAGATACAGATTTGTTTTAATCATGGCACCTGGGGCAAGGACAGGAGACACAAAACTTTACAACAAATTTTACACAGGAATGCAATAGGATAAATCTTTAAAAACCGTCATTGCAAGAGAGTGGAGCTACAATTAGTTATATAAACATGCAATGTAGAATCAATTTTGTTTAAAGCATTGCTACTGAGACTGGGTTGGGGCCACGGTTGGGTGAGAAGTTTTAAGTTTAAAAAAATTCCACAAGTATAATTAAGAAAGCTGAATTTGTAAATTTGGCATCAAGCCTCAATATTCTGCAAATTAAAATATTTGAAATCACGGACATTGATTTTAAGACAATAGTAAGAGGTTTCATTTATTCATTTGTGGCCATTTGTAACCATATAATTTATATCAACACCTCATTTAATAATGCTTTAAAGCCGATAAGGTGAGAATATGGTGAGTATGTCAAAGTCTTTCATTTATTTGAACCGTTTGTAAGATTTCTTGAAGAATGTGAACTTAACTAGTAAATAATCTAGCTTATTACGTCATTAATATTACAGACCCCATTCTTCCATCTTCTCCTGCCTACACTCTGGCTTGTGCAGACGAAGAATGCCTATCAGACGGGCCAATATTAGGTATTTAATTTAAAATAAAAAGTCTGTGTATGCAGTTCATAATTTTATGATTCCTAAATTAAATCTCATTATGTGTTTATTTCCTTTTTTCAGACAATAAACATAACAGTGCAGCTATTTTGTTTACGTCAATTATTCCATCCATTGTCTCCGTGTTCATTTGCATAATTTTATGACGTCATGTGCACCGTAAGCTCACAATAACGAAATTCCAAGGAAGTCGTTCTATGCACAGGCAAGTGCCATTGGATGCCTGTGAGGAACGATATTTAACTCTCAGAAATCCAGAAACTCAGTTCATTAAGAATGTATTTATTTTTGCGTGCATGGTTTGAAAGAGTGTGTGACTTGTTTAAATTAAAGAAATTACATTGTGTCGTAGTTGATCTCAACAAATCCACTACAAATCACGAATATTACTTGTTTGTTCATATGTATTTTTTGCAAGATGCATTGTTCATAAACTTAACTGCAGCAATCTCTATCATCATCATTATGAATGCCTGGATGTCGTAGTTAGTTTTACCGAGTGCTTCACTAACGTTGTAAATGTTTTTGTGATTACCTATGCTAGTATGACTGAAGAATGTAGATAACATGCATTTGAATAGTAACATCTGGAGGGATCACAAATGTTATGTAATTTCTAAATATATTTCACAATGGTTGAAAAAAAACACGATATGTTTTACTAGTAAGTCCCGGTGTTTATTTCTTACTCAAGGGATTAGAATGAATTCTGTAGTGTTTTGGAATCTCATTATTGCCATTTTTTTTATTACCCATTCCAAAAAGGTAGCACTTCAGCGTTTTATCAATTTAATACTCAGTGGATTGCAATGGATGAACCGATTTTATATTCTTAGATTTTATATGAAATGAAGTTGACAATTCTTGTATAAAAATTGATTAAGAAAATAAATATGAAGAAATTGAGATTGTTTAATTAATATTTCATGCCATGAAGTCTCGAATGTTACTAATTGCTCACAAAGAGTCATGTTGCAGATTTTTATTTGACAAAATATGTCGGTAAGGACATAACTTGTTAGCATGAATCATTATTTATGGGTTTCAGTGCTAAAAATCATGAGGATTTTTGCGTATATAATTGTCTGTTTACTTCACGCAGATTAGCATCTATTCTCGTAGTTCTAACCCTGAGGAATTTCTAGATTTGAGACGACAAATCTTGAGTAAGGAAGACATTTGTGTTAATACTCTCATGAAAAAGGAAAGGGTTGGAGTGGTTAGTGAAAAACATAGTTTAGAATATTAATGAATTCAAATTCTGTATTAAAATATGTGCTAGTAATTTATTTGCATTCGTCCCTATGTAAGTTCTAAGATGAAATGCTAAAATTGATTACAAGTTGCCACAACGATCACAAAGCATTTGTATGAAGTATAGAGTACTTTTCTGGTCCTTGAAGTCAGAGAGCTGCCGCAGGAAGGTTAATGATAGCAAGGTGACTTGAGTCAAGAACTGATACCCGCTTCCTGGCATACTTTTAACCTTCTCATAACAATACAAGATGTAAAGGCAACAAAAAAATCTTGGTTATACCATGTCGCCGTATGCCAGGAATCCCGTTGATTGAGACAATATTCTTTGTGATGAGGATAATATCAAAAACATATGTTTGTAATCATTCAGTATAATGGAGAATGGCGTCCCGATATATCACTACGTCTTGTTACTACTCACGGTTCATTACAAACTGACTGAGACCTTCAGATTTTTTTTTCTTTCCCGTAAATGAAAAAAAAATCATGCAAAACATATGGACAGTGAGAAAAACTCATCATCCGACTAATTATCACAGGGAAAGTTATCGAAACGTGCTCAATATCACGGTAAGAAGGAGGAAACACGTAATTAGGGAGGAAAATATTGAATGTTTAAAGATTTTTTCCATTTCATGTGGACGTGCAAATAACATGGATTGATTAAGTTTTAATTATTGAAATACTCATAAAATTATATTTTTTCCAGGATAAAGGGGCATTATTTTATTTTCTCAAATTATGTCATTCTCATTGTGAATCAAATTGATTTTGGGCCAAGAAAAATTAAATTACTCTTAGAATAATGCAAAAATAATTTCTCATTTCGTATGAGAACGCATAAATCACCGAAGAAAGTCATTTAAATAAACAGAATTTATAGAAGAATTTACATTATTGGGGATATACAGCGAATTCCCCATCCCTCCCCTGATAGATAAATAAGTGTAGCAAAGGTAACGAACTTAAGTCCAAGATGTAGCATTATGCAAATTTTAAAAAATATAACGAATCCCAAAATTGCATGTAAAAGAGACAGAGGGTAGAGGAGGGGTATTTAGATAAAGTGACCAAATATAAATTACATAATAGTGCGATTTGATTGCAATGCATTGCATTGAATTGCAATTCATTGTATTGTATGGAATTAGCCGGTGGCACCAGCTTTGTAATCAGCCGATCATAATGAAAAAGATGAAGGTAACGAACAGTGATTGATTTTTTTTTTTAAAAAAATCTTCAAATAATACAAATCTGTATACAGTGCCTAAAACACGGACCCGCGGAAATTCTAGAGGTGGGATCAGGTGCCTAGGAGGAGTGAGAATGCCCTGTTGACCGGTCACACCCATGGTGAGCCCTTTATATTGATCAGGTAGACGGAACATTCCGTAGTCAAAGGATCACTTCTTTATAAATGGAGCTTGGACCTATAGGACCGGGATTGGTATTAATCTATACAAAAAGCTTGTCGATTTCGTTATGGTCAATGAATTTAGGCTATACAAATATGTAATAATTCGTTTTAATTTCATTACTATAGTATGTATAGAGATAGGCGGAACCTTTCCATAGACATTTACTATGAAGCATGATTATATTATCAACACATTTTGGGTTTGTTATCTCAAAATGTTATTTGATTTGATTTTTCCTCTTACTTTTCATTGTAAATAATGGTAATGTCTATATTCTTATTTTTTCTTGATGTGTGTTTATTTTACAATACATCTCCTTTGATATAATAAAACATGCCATTGATGTATACAAATTATAAAAATTAAATCCAGGGGAGTGTAGATACTGATATGTTATCCTTTACTGTTTGAAAACTTTAGATCTGAAATTTATTCACTCGGTGCATGTATCTACTAGTATTCTAAATATATTTTTTAAGCTCAGATAATATAAGCAGTATACTTTCCAGCGCAATAACGCAGAGAAGAACTAGTAGTACAGACGGAATAAGAGCAATATAATACACTAAATTGATTAAATTCTAAGGAATATTATATATATATATATATATATATATATATATATATATATATATATATATATATATATATATATATATATATATATATATATATACAATAGAAATCCATCACAGCTCAAGCTCATTGCAGGCGAGAATATCCGTATCGAGTAACACAGAGTGAATAATTCTTGTCCTCGAAGAAAGTGTGCTATACTGAGGTATAGTTCCGTTTGACTGTTTTAGTTAAATGGAATTTACGAATTGCTTTCTCTTTACTGTCTTTTATATCCAGAATGAACGGGCATAAAAGATAGATGATTGAAAGAAAATACACAAGACCCTATAAAAAATATATAATATGCTAGTCTATAAAAAGACAAGAATATAAAAGTGTGGCACCAGGTGGATTCGAACCAAGACTCAAAAAAGTACTATAATATCTTCGGTGTATATACCTAGCTGTTTTACCGATCTAGCTATTCTGGATTTGAAAATAGTTTGTATGAATGCGAACTAAGTCTTTAAAAACAGGTTTCCTTATTTTTTGCTGCTTTTTTGTGAATTTCGACCCTAAGGCGGGGGTGCCCCTAAAAAATTCCTGTCTCAAAATATTCCTTTCATCACAACCTATCAAAATATCATAATTTTATTTAGGGGCAGGCCTGCCCTGAAGGACTTCTAGGCCAAAATTCATGCAAAAATATGAGCCTTAATGGACAAAAAAAATGCTGTTTTGGCCAACTTTGGAGGTTAATTTTTAAGTTGTAAATAATAAATTTTAGGTTCAAAATACAAATTTGAAAAATTTAGACATATATACGTTAGTTAACAACTAATGAACCTTGATTTTTAAAAGTGACTTTTCCGGGAAATTGTTCTCTCCTATATGTCAGTTCTTTTCAAACAGTGAATACATCCTTTATAGAAAAACAAAGGCCTAACAATGGGTATGAAATACATCAGCCAAAATACGACCCAATGATACGTTATTTTTGTTAACAAGGTCATTATAACGACCATAGAATTTACGAAAATATGACTTTGAACAAGGAAAATTGATTCTATATTTTCACCATTTTTAATGAGGACAACAGCTAGCCAAAATTACTTTTATGGAATAAAGTGCAGTCACACCCACATAAAACAATTTAGATAGTTTTCTGGGCAAACATGTTTTTTTTGTTTTGTTTTTTTTAATTTCGTAATACAAGTTTATACTAACATTGTATAATAGAATACATGTATTGGTTAAAAATGTACTTTAAAATTCACTTGCACATGTAATGTAGGCAAACATGTCTACCAAATGCGCTATGGTCTTTGTGAACCCACTCGTTTACGTTCCAACATAAACGATCCTACGTATGTTTGAATGGGAACATTCATAAATTTGCATATCTGAAAAACTTCTACCTATGATATTAGGGTTAAAAAAAAGAAAATTGCTATAAGTGTCCTTTTTTCTCTATGCAGAAATCGTATATTACGTTGTTATCTACTGCAGGAAGGAAATAGATTGGTTTCATTTCCTTATGTGTCAAAGGGATAAAATAATTCTATACAAAGGCTAAATAAGAGCTTCTTCCTGTAAATAAAGTATAATGCTGGCCTCCGAGGAGCACATAGACACCCTTTATTTGCATTCCTTCGTAGTTAGATGTTGATTTCTGGCATGCTCTGTACACTAGTGCACGAGTTATTCAACCATGGTGGACAGGACTATTATTATTACCTTTTTCGTCATCTGTATCCCAACTGTCCATGCGGCTGACCCTATTTATGCATGCGATAGGTAAGTATTCTGTGATAGGTAAAACTCTGAGCATCACCTTTCTATACATTAAAATCACACTTGTTAAATAATTTGTATCTATTTTTTAGTCTCATTTTCTGCCAGGGGAAACTATTGGATACGATTCAAAACTTGAGACTGTTTCCAGATTCCAAAACATTTGTGGATATGAGCTTACGAGAATCCCCAGGTATTGGCAACTATTTTCACGTTGATTCATTAGCAACACTCAATTATTTTAGCTTCTTTTAAGTAGGAATTCTGCAGCGTTTTTATTTACATCATTCATCGCCGTTTAATGGCCATCAATTTAAGGCGTTTGTGTAATCTTATTAAAGCGATTCATATGAAGGTCATTATAAAAAAAAAGCTGCTAAACGTGTCACTTCCTTGTAAAGTCCTATATTTATTTTCTCTCCATTTTAGATTGTTACTTTACAATCTACGACATCTATACCTTCTATGACTAATAGAAATTTTCACATAATTAATTTCTTTTAAGTCAATGGATGATTTTTATCACACCAATCGGCCAACTTTATACTGTCAATGGAATTTTCTCTCTTCAAATAAGGATAGATATGCCAAAAATGGTTTGAATTTTAGTAAAAAAAAATCATGTATGCATAAAATATATGTTAAAAAGAATATATCTACGAATAAAAAATATGAGCCCCATGTTCCCTTAAACTGATAGAGCATTTAATATGACTGTACAAGAAAGCTGTGTCATTGGTGTTACTATTTTTGTTTTTGCTACAAAAGAGTTATCAATCCTAATAAGAGATTATCAGCAGTCCTGAGTCATATTACATCACTTCTCGCCAAAAACAAGAGAAACTGTTCCTTGATATGCATGGTCACAACATATTGATGGACTTCTGAAGTAAAGAAAGTAGACTAGTACAAACTTTTTTTGTCAGTGGTGTTTTCATCGTTATTTCAAAACAATTTTAGATATTCATTAAACTCTTTTACGAAAGGTATTCTTTGGGTGAACTTATTACAATGTGGACATGACCTTTACATTATCCAGGGTCAATTAAAGATACCAGATCATTTTATGACTTGTACGTCATTGGTGTAACTGTCATTGGCATTACTTCCTAAAGTTTAACACCAGTACAGGTATGGTTACATCATTGACAAAACAAGTACTTTTGAGGCAAAATGTATTCTTCTTATGTAGAAAATTATTTAAGGTTTTCCATCCCTAATAGGACCTAATTCTCTATCCTTAAATATCCATCACGTATATAATACTCTGATATTAATTCAAAGCAATTTACAGTAGAAAAGGATTTATCAAGAGAAAGTTTCAAAAATGTAATTAACTAAGCTGTAATTACTTAACATTGAAGTCTATGGAGACAAGCGATTTTTTAAAAATGAAAATTCAAATTAAGACTATCAATAAAATTTGATACTGTGGTAGAAAGATGCTTTAAATCATTAGAAATAGAATGACAATTGACAACATTTTTTTTACCGTATAGATTTTTTAAAAAATTGATTTTTATTGCTTAAAATAAGAGGGAGATAACTCTTCAACAAAGGTCAAGGTCATGAATTAGGACACGTTCCATTCTTACATGTTAATAGTAATAAATGGGAATTATGTCTAAATATACTGAGTATTCCAACCGTACACATCTGTTATGTATTCAAATTGATTGAATCTGAGGCTGTGCTATTAGGGATGGAATACTTCAATTTGTTTTCTACTATGCCACCTCATTCATGGTGTTTGAAAGCAATTGAATTATTTTTCTATAAATCATTTTTCCACTTAGAGACTTTTTTCAGTACAAGGTAACGCCAATGACAACTTAGTACATGTACATGTAACACCAATGACAATCATTTTTTTACGCCCATAAATATATCTTCTCTTTTAAATATTGCACAGGTCATGAATGAATGTCAGAATTTATCACCTGAGTAAAGTAAAATTAGCCAAGTTCAACTTAGTTTTCTTTAATCTCTCTTACGAATATTTACCTTTTTATAGTAACACCAATGACTAGTGAAGTAACACCGGTGATAAGAGATTTTGATTACTACTAATACACTTTATCTACTATTTCTTTAATGAAGAATATGGAATTTAAAACAGTACATCAGGCACAAATGAGACCCTTTTACCCTACCTACATTTTTTCAAACCAATGAAAAACTAACACTGTATTTCCTTCAGCTTTTACCATTCATTTATATACAGTATATGTGTGGGGCTTAATTGAAGAAAAGTATAAGACAAAGGGTTAAAGTTTGCAATAGGGGGTTTCTGCTTTATATTTATTTAAGGTAATCTACATAACTCACTTATTCTTTAAATGTTTAAATGACAGTACACCTCTTGCAGCTATGCATTATTCTATGGTCACAGTGGGACAAGTCAAGTCAGTGGTGTTACCAGTTTTCTTTTTGTTATAGGAACATTCAAAGTACGAAATCTCATAGTTTAGCATGTGTCTATTAATTTATGTTTCATGTCAATGTCCAAATCTGATTGAAAACTTAATTTTCACCACTAGATAATAGTACTTTTGGACTTGTTAGTAAACTGGAATAATCCTAGTAAATTTTTATCATAGCTTGCATTCAGAAGTTTTTCACTTGGCTCTATACAACAATCCTTTATAAGGTAACAGACAGAATTACAGAAAAACACTGGTAATTTTTACGAGAAAATTCTGAAAAAAAAAATACATGTACCTTTCCTATAGTGTTTGCTAAATGTTGTTTTCCCAAAATATTGTGGTGTATTATCATTTTACATTCAAAAAAGAAACAGAAATATTTAATTGTTTCTCCGATTTTCATATGAACCATTTGGCTGCTTTTTTTATATTGACCCATCATGAGTGAATATGTACGTGTTTCTTTACACAAGACACACGCAATATGCGTTTTTTTTTTGGGGGGGGGGGGGGACATATGCAGGATGGATCCAGGATTTTTTTCCAAGGGAGGACTCAACATATCAGTCTTGGAAATTTTTTGACAAGCAAGAAAGTAAACAATTTGCCCAAACCTGTAAAAAATCCTATTTTGTTAGATGGGGGGGGGGAGGGGGGGTCCTAAGCCAATATTCTTCTAATTGACTCTCCTTGCCGTTTTAAGAGAGGTCCGTGTTTCCTGGGGGTTTAAGGTCATTTTTATTACTTTTACATAGAAATTTAATAATAACTCTGAAATTCCACTGAATATCCGGACACACACCCCACCCCGAACTACTCCTGCTATATAAATAAGATTGGAGCTGAATGTTAACCTGGTTTTCTGTCCTTTGATCTAGGTACAATATTGTCAGCATTTGATGCACTATCGGAACCAATCACTAAAGAAAAAGCGCAGAAGTTTGTAACAGATCATTTTTCCGGTCCAGGCGAGGAATTCCAACCATGGGAACCGTCAGACTTACCAAGACTGTAAGTACAATGAATTCAAACTTAGTTCAGAATATAACGCATTTCCCATCAACCAGGATTGATAACTCTGAGAATTATTATTTGATTTAAAAAGTCTCAAAATGAAGCTTGAAATTTAAATATTTTCTGTGCAACAATTTTCATTTCATGCATCTCAACATGATTCTAGGTTTTTTGAAGTCTTGGAAACAGTCTTGTAAAACGATGATATCTGTACCCCATAAACGTACAAAAATACATTTTAGAGAAATCGAATTTCCTTTCATCTATCCTTTGATATATCAATGCTTATTAGCATGATAAATTGAAATTTAGACGTAACGAACAGTAATCAAGCTGAAAAGTCCATTGATACAATACAAATCGGGAGCAGAGCAAACACGGACCTCTTAAAAACATAAGAGGTTTGATCAGGTGCCATGGAGGAGTGAGCATCCCCTGTCGACTGGTCACAACCTCCTTGTCATGATCGGACGAACGAAAAAATCCGTAGACAATTCAATACTTAAATAATGACATAACAGTAATTGTATGAAAAACGTCAGTCAACCTTCGACTTAATTAATAATAGATTGTGTTTACTGACAAGGTCATTGTATCAAACATAGAACTTGCAAAATGTTGACTGATATCCTTGTTTCATCAACTTGTCAAAAGTTTGCCTCGTTTTAGAAATTGTTTGTACCTATAGCATGCTCTTGCGTATCGAATCAACTGGGAGACATAAACTCCATATGCAAGGGTATATTGCTACCTAAATAAGGGAATTTGACGGTAGAAAAGTTGAAGTCATCACGTTTGTCCTAAAGTTTTTATTGTTAGATTACCATTAACGTCTTTTTCTAGCAAAATATCCAAACATGAAACAGATATATGATATGAAAAACGAAGTGATCTTTGTTTTGCAATGATATCACTAGCTTTTAACACAATGTATTACATAAAAATTGAAAGAAATAGAAGAATTAAAATATAATTTTTAAAAAAGGGGGGGGGCAGTGCAATTTTCTCTGAATGCCTGGATTATCTACTTGTAGCTGTTTATCCTTAAATGTATTTGTTGATCAATTTTCAAGTAGAAAATGCATTGCTGGTGATTTTATTAGCATTTCCTAAAAATATATCTAAGATTTGATGTTTCCTACCTAATATGATTAATTAGCATTTCCTAAAAATATATCTGAGATTTGATGTTTCCTAGCAAATATGATTAGTTGTATTAATAAACTTTGCAGAAATACCACGGGGAAATACGCATAACTTTGTGAAATACATTTTGTGAGCATTTTCTTAATTGCTGATTTTAAGAACCTGAGGATCGGACTACCTTAATTAACAAAGTGCCTAGGCCTAGATGTAAAATATTGTATAGGCTTGAAAAAAAGTTTCATCTGGGATGTGTAAACAGAGACTGCTTCACCAGATTCAGAACATTGATCTTTTTTAAACCATTACCTATACAATATATTGTACCTACCGAAAGTTTTGACTATGTGAACGTTACAATTTAATATAACCAGTGTATAGAAACATGCAGAGTGAGTCAAAAACACAGTCTCATAATAGCCTATGCGTAAAGATAATGCAATTACCACGATTACGCCTTTAATATTTGAACACAAAATATTTTGCAATAATCTGACTAGAGCCATGAGAATCATACAAGATCAACAAATTTTGCACCGTTGATTCTCAAAGTCTGGTTACAAAAAGAAAATGGTTGATTCGTTATTATTATTTATTTTAATTTTTGGAATGTAGATAAACAAACACTTACCTGTGTTATAGAGTAGGATTTCCCCCATAGTCAGCTTTTCCCCCGGAATCTGTACTCTAGAGTAGAACTTCCCCCAGAGGGGAAATCTCACACCAGAGCCAAACTTCTCAGAGTAGGATTTCCCCTCCTTTATCAATGCTTACATCATATCGACAATAATGTGAAAAAATGTTTATATATAAGTCAACTAATTTCTCTAATGGAAATATTGGTGTTTTCGACTCAAGAATTGTCAAATTTAGTATGAAATCTTAAAATAAATAGTTCAAATCATTGAGTCTCATCCCAAATTTTTAACTTATGGGAAACTTCAAAAATCGTAAAACTCGATGTCTCAACACCCTCTTCCGGCGCAGCGGTACGTGTTTGTTCACAAATTTTTAAATAATATCAGGATACTTTTAGTGATTTGATAATTTGCTTGCCCCCTAAACGCCCAGTATTTCTTCTATAAATGATCTATAGATCCTTCCTTTTTACAAAGTGTGTGAGAAAATTCTAAAATTTATGCCATTGATGGGTTCCACGTGTCATTTTGTGAGTTTATATGTATTTGAATTGAATTGTTCTTGAAAGAGGAAAAGGCTAAAACCATAAACACAACAATACAAGAAACACTGCTTTCGCAAGCCAAAGCATAACTAGTTATAATTGTAACGGGGACCGTTACAGATGTTCCCCAAACGCTCCCCAACACCCTTTTGGTGTCTTATTTCCTGTAAGCTTCATTAAATAAGGCAATGAAGTATATTGATCGTTTTTTGCATTTCACACGCGCGCACGTGCATGCATGTGCAGGATGACCATGTCATCTCATCTATACTATTAATGCATCTTTATATTCTCAGTTTCAAAACATTTCATCAAAAAATAAATAAGTTCCGGCTATATCAAGTATATTGGTCATCTTAGCATTGCACGCATGCGCACCTGCATGCATGTTCCTAATGACCATGCCATTTTGTCTACACTTATAATATGTCTGTTTATTCTTAGTATCAAAGCTTTTCATAAAAAAATATGAAAGTTATGGCTATATAAATAGTATATTGGTCATTTTACGCATTGCACGCGCGCGCATGTGCATTCATGAGCATGATGTCCACATCATCTTGTCTACACTTTTAATATATCTGTATATTCTTAATATCAAAGCTTTTCATAAAAAATATAAAAATTACGGCTATATTAAGTATATTGGTCATTTAACACATTGCACGCGCGCGCACGTGCATGCATATGCATGCATGCATGCATGTGCATGATGACCATGTCATCTTGTCTACACTTTTGACATATATAAATATTTTGAGTATCAAAGCATTTCATCAAAAAGAAAAAAGTTACGAGTATATCAAGTATATTTGTCATTTTACGCTTTGCGCGTGCGCACACGTGCATGCATGCGCATGTTGACCATGTCATCTTGTTTACACTTTTAATATATCCTTATATTCTGAGTATCAAAGCATTTCATCAAAAAATATAAAAGTTACAGCTATATCAAGTATATTGGTCATTTTACGCATTGCACGCGCAAGCACGTGCATGCACGTGCGCGCAAAATGACCTTGATTCCGCAAATCTACATAACATGCCTATTAACCCTAAAAAGGTTTTACCTCAATCGGATGACTAGTTGACGAGATCACTCGCGGACAAAAAAGTACCCAGGAAGAAGAAGAAGAAGAAAAATAATAATAACTAGTATTAATTGTAACGGGGACCGTTACAGATGTTCCCCAAACGCTCCCCAACTTCCTTTTGGTGTCTTATTCCCTGTAAGCTTCATTAAAAAAGGCAGTCAAGTATATTGGTTTTTTTACGCATTACACGCGGGCGCACGGGCATGCATGTAAAAAATGACCATGTCAACTTGTCTACACTTTTAATACATCTTTATATTCAAATTTCATCAAAAGATAAAAAAAATTCGGCTATATTAAGTATATCTGTCATTTTACGCATTGCAAGCGCGCGCACGTGTATGCATGTCCATAATGACCATGTCATCTTGACAACATTATTAATATATTTACATATTTTGAGTATCAAAGCATTTCATCAAAAAGTGTAAAAGTTACAGCTATATCAAGTAAATTGGTCATTTTAGCATTGCATGCGCACGCATGTGCATGTTGACAATGTCGTCTTGTCTACATTTATAAAGGGTCTATATATTCTGAGTATCAAAGCATTACATCAAAAAATGTAAAAGTTATGGTTATATCAAGTATATTGGTAATTTTACTCATTGCACGCGTACGCACGTGCATGCATGTGCATGCTGACCATGTCATCTTGTCTACACTATTAATATATCCTTATATTCTGAGTATTAATGTATTTCATCAAATGATATGAAAGTTTTGGCTATATCAAGTATATTGGTCATTCTACTCATTGCACGCGCACGCACGTGCTTGCAAGTGCATGCATGTGTGCGCTGATCATGTCATCTTGTGTACACTTCTAATATTTATTGATATTCTGAGTTTCAAAGCAATTCATCAAAAAATGTACAAGTTAAGTCTATATCATTTGCATTGGTTATTTCAATCATTGCGCATGCGCACACGTGCATGCATGTGCATTCTGACCATGTCATCTTGTCTACACTTTTAATATATCCTGATATCCTGAGTATCAAAGCATTTCATCAAAGGATATGAAAGTTATAGCTATATCAAATATATCTGTCATTATACTCATTGCACGCGCGCGCACGTGCACACACGTGCATGCATGTGTGCGCTGATCAAGTCTTCTTGTGTACATTTCTAATATATATTTATATTCTGAGTTTCAATGCAATTCATCAAAGAATGTACAAGTTAAGTCTATATCATTTGTATTGGTTATTTCAATCATTGCGCATGCGCACACGTGCATGCATGTGCATTCTGGCCATGTCATCTTGTCTACACTTTCAATATATCCTGATATCCTGAGTATCAAAGCATTTCATCAAAGGATATGAAAGTTATAGCTATATCAAGTATATCTGTCATTTTACTCATTGCACGCGCGCGCACGTGCACGCACGTGCATGCATGTGTGCGCTGATCAAGTCTTCTTGTGTACACTTCTAATATATATTTATATTCTGAGTTTCAATGCAATTCATCAAAAAATGCACAAGTTAAGTCTATATCGATTGTATTGCTTATTTCAATCAATGCGCATGCGCGCACGTGCATGCATGCGCATTCTGACCATGTCA